TCCAGTATAGGTTTCTGACAGTAAGAGAAATTATTATTTGATTTTAGATTTTCCTCTCTCTTTTTCACTATCCCACAAAAAAAGCATGAATTAAAAATTGTGCTTTTAAAATGCGAACTTAACATTGTGTCTTTTCCTGGCCCACTTGAGCTCATCTTGTTTTACAACAAATTCCATGATTTGCTTAGGTAAAAGTAATTAAGAATTTCTGTTAGCATTATTGTTTTGTTTTTTTAAAAAAAGAACGCTATTTAAAAAAACACTTTTTTGTTTGAACATTAATAAGAAAATTAGAAACTAATTTAAAGTATCTGATGTAGTATAAAGCAGAAGAAATTATCCTGCTGATATTATAAAATTAATAAAGAGAGGTACTGAGTAATAGTGGCCAAAACTCTCTATGTAAGTCACTATTTACTTTTATCCTCTTGGATAGTTGTAATAACGGTATTCATTTCTCAACAAGTTATAGTCCTTTGAATCATTTTGTAAGCAATACAACCTCTCAGCTAATTCCTTGCAAGAGACATTTGATGGGAGGAAGTTTAATTATAATTAGTCTACTTAGTATAACAACCCAACTGATTTTTTTTGAAACTCAGGGTTTTACTGTTCATGTTTGAAGTTGCACAAGTATTTTGACAAGCAAAAGGAAAATATTTTTGGTTCCTCATTGTATTTGTATCTTGAAAGAATCTTGAAAGCAGCTATGTGCAGTCATGTAAAATGTAGGTTGAAAGTTGCCATAGCAGCAGAGAAATAGATAAGTTTGGAATAATTGTCCAAAAATAGACCATTTAGCAATTGCATGTCTGTAAGAGAATATTGAAGCCTCAGCATCATAGTTTAAAATTAATTTTTAATTTTTATAAATATTTAAATAGATAACATTATTAAAAATATACTGAAAGACTGGAAAGATCAAGTTGTGAAAAATACAAACTTTGAAATAGTTACAATGGATCTCATATATTTTTATATAGAATTTTAATTGCATTGTTTATACAGTACTGTTTAAACACTTAAAATTAGATACCCTTTAGAAATTTTGGAGTTTTGTTTCAGATATTCACCATATATACTTCCAAATGTTTGATTATCACTGGTTATCTTAGCATGAATAAGGAATAGTTCACATATCTATACTTGCCTATATCACTTGGATAATAGGTGACAACTCCTAGCTGCATGAATAATTGGTTGCTATTAAAAGATGTTATTTTGACATCATGTAATTATGAAAATATTGTTCCACAATAATCTATTTTTTTCTGCCTACAAATAATTCATTGTCATTTGGAGGCCTAAATAATCTTACTGATGAGTAGAGAATCTTGTATCAGTTCTGATTAAAAAGGTATATACCTGCACAGTTACACCTACACAGAGATAGTTTTACTTCAGTTATTTTTGTCCTAGTAAATACTTGTTTGAATCATTAATGTATCTAATATTGACTTGGAAAATGATTTTAAAAATTCATTGAATAAAAAGTCAGCAATGAGATTGTTCACTGGTCAGTAATCATATTATAATGATTTACAATGCCTTGGTAAGGCCACACTTGGAATATTGCATCCACTTTTGGTCACCACGATGTAAAAAAGATGCTGAGACTCTAGAAAGAGTACAGAGAAGAGCAATAAAAATAATTAGGGGACTGGAGGCTAAAACATACAAGGAACGGTTGCTGGAATTGGGTATGTCTAGTTTAACGAAGAGAAGGACGAGGGGGGATATGATAGCAGTGTTCCAATATCTCAGCGGCTGCCACAAAGAAGAGGGAGTCAAGCTATTCTACAAAGTGCCTAAAGGCAGGACAAGAAGCAACGGATGGAAACTAATCAAGGAGAGAAGCAACCTAGAATTAAGGAGAAACTTCCTGACAGTTAGAACAATTAACCAATGGAACAACCTGTCTCCAGAAGCTGTGAATGCTCCAACACTGGAAGTTTTTAAGAAGAGACTGGATAGCTATTTGTCCGAAATGGTGTAGAAAGCCTGAGCAGGGGGTTGGACTAGATGACCTCCAAGGTCCCCTCCAACTTTATTATTATTATTATTATGCTTTATGATCTGCTTCGGATTGCAGATCCAAATCCAAGTTCTTTCCATAAGTTTCTGGAGATCAAGTCTTCTGAAGATTATCTCCTTTTATATATTAAGCAAGTTGACCAATATTCAACTTGATAGATTGGTAAATTTCAAATCTTGTTAATATATTGGCTAAATTTTCTGTGTTTTGTGTAAGAGAGAAAAAAGGGAAAAATACTCTTGAATAATCATAGATGACCAACTTACAATATAAAAAATGAGTGGAAGCTTATGCTCTTTGTAAATAGACGTTGAATCCCATAAATCCAGAAAGCCAACTGGCTTTCATCATTGGTTACTAAGATGTTTCAGTTTAGTTACTGAATTGTTCTGTGATGCAGATGAGTTCTTCATGAATATCATCAATATGTTAAGTGTTATTTTTCTACTTTTTGGTTTTGTATACAACAATGGTTAAGAATGTGAATGTTTTATTTCTTCTTCTTGTTTTTTTTACAAGAGGTTGCATTACTTTTATATGAAAAGTTCTTTATTTCAAGATACAAAGTTAATGTTATTTTATGGTAATTTCTATAGAATCATGTGGCTGAAAGTCAGTCAGACCCCTAAGTCCGACCCCTGTCAGTATATTTGTCACACTACAGTTGAATTGTAAAGAAAATGCAAGGTGAAAAGTACATAATAATGGTATTATATCTCTAAAAACTTACACTAATGATATATATGTACATTTATGTGGTCCTTCATCTGAAATGCACAAAATCATGACTTTGGAAATGTATGGTCCCTCACAAAAAACAAAAACATAAGTATTACAAAATTTAAAATACATAAACACAGTCGTGTAGATTTTCATAAGAAATTTTGACATAAGATTTGAATTTTCTCCCCCAGGAGTTTAAATGCAATATAATTTGCTCTGTTTTTTTCCTCAGAACAATAACTCTCAGAAGTGAGCTGAAACAGAGTGACTGTCTAAAATTAAGCCCTGGTTAAAGTGGGCTTGAACTTATTTCTTCCTGGTCCTAGTTCAGCCCTTCATTGGTTCACTCAAATGTGAAATCAGTAGTTTGGGGAGAATATTTCATGCCACGAGATTATATATATATAATATATGTAGGTCTTTGGTTATACGGGTTTTCTCCCACGTAAAATTGGAAGTGTCTTGGCGACGTTTCGATGAAGTCTCATTCGTCATCTTCAGGCTGGTGCTTTCGGCTTCGTGCTTCTAGGAGCAATGTGTGATTGTAGCTGTTTCCTCCTTTTAGCTGCCAGTGGGGGTATGAACTGATTGGATGAGAGCTTGGCTGTGTTCTGATTGGATGGAGGTGTGTTCTGATTGGTTAGGAGCTTGGCTGTGCTCTGATTGGCTGGGGGGTTGGCTGTGCTCTGATTGGCTGGGGGAGTGTTCTGTTTGGGTGGGGGCTTTGTTGTGCTCAGGTTAGTCTGAGTTGCAGGGGGGTTTAAAATGGTGAGCTGCATTGCTATTTTTTGGCTTTGTGTTCGTGGTCGTGCCTCATCTTCATGGTGGGTGTCAGTTTGCTTCATGTATGGATTGCAGGGGTTTAAAGTGGCTAATGATGCAGCTGTGGTCTGGCTTCTGGTTTTTGGTTGTGCCTCATCATCAGTGTGGCTTTGGGTTTGCTTTTTGCGTGGATGTGTGGTGGTGACATCCTGTGTGGTTTTTGTGAGTGTGGGTCTGGTGTCATTTTTTGTGTTATGGGGTCGTTTGTCAATAAGGGCGGGTTTCCAAATGGCTGGTAGGCGGGAGGTATCATCTCGTTTGTTCATGCTGTGTGGGCGTTTTTCTATCTCGATGGCTTTTCTGAGGCATCTTGTTCTCTGTCTTTTTAAAGTCAATTTCATGTCCTGTGATTTTAAGGTGTTGGACCAGGGAAGAAGTTGGTTCCTCTTTTTTGACTGAGTTCTTATGTTCTTCAATGCGTGCATTTATTCTTCTGTTGGTTTGTCCGATTGTTAGCAGTTGTTCAAAGATATGATCTGAGAAGGCAAATACATCTTTCTGAAATATGGTTAATATATTATTCCACAATGCTGCACCATAGGGTAACGTAGAATGATGATAGTGATGCAATTGTCAAACCAAACAAAATGACATAACAACAGATATGCAAGAAATGAAGATGGCTGTAGAAAATAAAGATGACCTAAATCAGGGCTTTTCAACAAGTGGTACGGGTACCACCTGTGGTACATTGGCACCTGGCAGGTGGTACACAACCATCCTAAAAAAGTGGTAGTGGGGGAGGGGAATAAGAGCGCCGCCAGGCGGGCAGGCAAGTGTCTTGCTCGGCTGTGCCTTGGGGGGCACTTTTTTCAATGCCATTGTAACTTCGAACAGTCACTAAGCGAACTGTTGTAAGTCAAGGACTACCTGTACTTTATCACTTTTTTCTTTTTTCTTTTTTTTTTGGGTCATCAAGTTTTTGACACCTTGCTAGGTGACTGGTGGTACTCGGATATTGCCATATCCTAAAAGTGGTACAATCGGTGAAAAGGTTGAAAAGCCCTGACCTAAATAGAGCTAGACTAGATTTGTTACCAAAGCAATGAAGAGACAAACATGGCTTAAGTTCAAAACAATTAGAAAGTATAGGTTAAGTGGCTCAGACACCTCCCTTGTTCATATGGATATAAAAAGGGGAGGAGACACAAGACAGTTTCTATTATTATAGATAATATCAATAATAGTAGTCTTAGCCTTCCTGTGGAGTTAATTTTTGGTCAGGGCTACTTTGTGGGGCTGACAATCTCCTAAATTCCTAAATTATGTCTCGGCTTCTTCTGGAATATGTAGCACTTGTGGACTGGTAAATTGTTTCACAGAATATTAACAAGTTTCAAAACATTTGAATTGATTAATAATGTATGAATCTTGCACGAGATTACTTCTTTATACAACCTCATTTTCTTTATTATTTTAGATATGGACATAGTTATGAAATTTTTTGTGTTGCCTGCAATAGTGCAAGCACTATGATAGCCTCTGCGTGTAAGGTAAGGAAATACTTTTAAACAATAGCTTTGAAATTCACATCCAAAGTGATAAATATCTCATTGTTCACTGTGTTGGATGGTTTTAGGAATAACAGAAGAATCCTTTTATGTTCTAGTGGTCTAATTCTGTGACCCACATGTTATATGATGCACATGCACACACATGTATACATAATGATATATTTATATAGCATATACATACACAATATAATATATATAATATATTCAATATTAAGAATTCCTCAAGCCTAAAAGCAGTAGCCCCTGGATGTTAATGTTCTCAGCAATTAAGAATGGGCAGCCCTGGATAATTGATTTCATGTTGAGACATTATTCACTTTTCCAGAAAATAGTGAAAATAAGAAGCCACAGCTGTGATACATTTTTTTTTAAAAAATCATGTGATAAAAATGCTAAATAAAAATATTTCACAGAGGATTTCAGTTATATCAGTTATATAGAGTGCACATGACAAAATGAAAAGATTTTCAAAATCCAAGGCAGACCTGACAACTTTGATGCAAATGGTATTCTGTCCCAGGATAGAAAGTGCATAAATCACTTGTAGGATTTTGTTGTTTGCTCATAGTATTACAATTAGTTCTTAATTAGGAAAGTTTGTGCCCTTCAAATGTGTATTATTCCAGTCTTAGTACTTCTGCTTCAAAATGTACCTTACAAATTAATCAGCTGGTTACAAGGATACAGGGGAGAAAAATGGTTAATCGGACTATTGGGGTGGAAAAGCAAATGATACGCCGGAAGTATTTTTGTTTGCAACAGAGTACAAATGTAATGAACAAGCAAACAAAGAAATGTGTCACACACCTGGACACATCTAAAGAACAATGGGCCAGATGACACATTAAATAGCAGAGTACTTCACAGACAAAAAAACATTTGCATCAACTCAGAGTGAAAAGCCATCTTGACAGAATCATAAGAAGTGCCAGAGGTCGTTTCTAATTGTGTTATCTGGGAAGAATTTGAACCTGTTGATCCTGAAAAAATAGAGATCTTTTGGGAGACGAGAAGTGCCATTATATAGAGAGAATAAGAAAATGATCTTGACAGAGAGATACACAAACCATTGCCTAAGTAAAAGGGAGTGAGAGATTTTTAAGCTGCAAACAATGAGATAATATTTGGAAGTAATTCAGGGAGACAATTCCATAATTCCCTGTAGTATAAGAAGGGAGACGGACGTACAGCATAATCAGAGTTGCAAGTTTCTGTTGTTATAGACCAAGGGTGTCAAACTTGCAACGTCACGTGACGTGTCGCGACGTATCACGGCTTTTTCCTTATTGCCAGAGCTGGGGTGGGCGCAGTTTCGGCATGACGCATCCGGCCCGCAGGCCAGCAGTTTGACACCCCTGTTATAGACACTCAATAAAAGTAATTTTACCTCCCTGTGGACTTGATTTCCTGGCTTGATCTACTTGGTGAGGCTAACACTATGGGTTTCAATTCCTACCTGGGTTTGTATGGATTCCCATACAAACGTGGTTCTATTGTAATTCCTCATTATGAGAGGGGGATGTGCCTTATTATTGCCTAATCCTAATTATATTGGAAAACTATTACCCAGTTTCATAATTCCACTTATTAGCAAAGGTTATTGGGAAGGAGGTGGCCATCTCCAAAGTTATTCTTTTTAATGCTTTGATTCCCCTGGGTAGTCAGACGCCGCTATTCTTAGAGGGTGGGATAGAAATTCCCTTCCCTCTCTCCTCATGGGGAAGCCTTTACAGGAAAAGAAGGTGCTTAGGGTAAAGAGAAGATCAGATCTCACCCAGTTTCATCCGCGTTGCTTTCAAAGTGCTTGATAGTAATTTGACTTCGGCTGTTTGCAGCCTAATGAGAAGCCATATTGCTATGGCCGGTCTTTTCTCCGCCAGTTTGGAGGGCTGCCCCGGATCAAGCGGAAAGGCTGCCACCCTCCCGTGATCAAGCGGGGGTCCCCTCTTTGCTCGTTGCCCCTACAGGGCGACTTTTGATCCTTTCCAGGGGCCCCTAGCGAAGGAAAATCGGACATGGAAGATGGAATCGCCTTCCAAGCGTCCGTAGCGGCTGTAGCGGAAAACCGGAGGTTTTTCCAGTTTAGGCTCCTTCTTGATGGGAGTTATGATTAAGTACACTTGGAGAGTTCTAGTTCTGGTGTGGCCTCAGGTCCTTTTTCAAGATTGTGTCTGCTTGTTTTCAGTACTGCCTTTTTTGGTTTTACAGGCTTCTAAAAAAGAATATGCAGCCATTATTTTGTGGAGTACCACAACTTGGAAACAATTGCAGAGCTTAGCTTTCCACAATCTGACAGTGACACAGATGTCTTTTTCCCCAAATGATAAATTCTTGCTAGCAGTTTCAAGAGATAGGAATTGGTCACTTTGGAAATCTAATCATATCACTCCAACAGAATCAGGTAAGATTGCTGGTTGAAAATTGATGCAGCTTTTTAAACTGTTTAAAGAGAAGGGGTCTAAACTTTTTTTAAAATAATGCATTCTACTTCCTTCCTAAGATTTTTCTGTGAATGGTATTCCTAAAAAATTGAGGACCAAGATGTATAAAATGTTGAAGGATTGTTTTAATTTGGCTTCAGAGCTTTGAAGTAGTTCTGTTGTTCCATTTCTAAAAGTGAAACAATTGCTTTGCTTTGCTTTGAGAGCTCATCCAGCAGTTCCAGTATCTGGAAAAACTTTCTGTGTAATGTAGTAGCTGGGATAATACATCCTCATATCGGGGAGTTGTTTGTAGTGTTCGCTCTCATTGATATTAATGCATGGGAAAATAAATAGGCAGAAATATTAATTCGAATTCTGCAAATCCAAAGCCTTCCTTAATATGTTGGAATCAGCATCAGAAATTAGGTTTCATGAAAAAGTATGTTGGATCCAGTGATGGTTGAGAGTTTTGTTTAATACGTCGCATTTGCGTCCGTCAAAAAAAGGTGCAATCGTGGGGGTGGGTAAGTTTTTGTGAAAATCTCTGACCATATCAACTGACATCCACTCTGCAGAGGGAATTAACGGGAGGAACGGCAACAAGGAAGAAATTGCAAGAGTGGAAGAAAGATTTACCAGCATTGAGCATCCAGCTGAAAGTGGGGAGGGGGGAGATAAGAGCTGCTATTGTTATCTCAGTCTAGTTGCATTGGGAAAAAGAGTGCCTGAAGCATCTTTCTTGCTAGCGTTTTGCAAGTAGTTTAAAAGAAGCTGAGTTAAAGCAAGACAATTATTTTTTCTTGAAGTTGATGAACGAGAGTGGCTGTCTCATTTGAACAGTCCACTCCAGGCACCTGATGGATTCTGTTGGGTTCCAAAAGGAGCTAGGGATTGTTCCTGGAGGTCTGGTACAGACCTTACTCATCACTTGAAATGAGTGAGTGATTTTTTTCCCCTAGTGCTTGGAGACTATGGGAGTCTAACTAGGGGAGAATAGGCTTCAGCTTAACAAGACACAGTGACTGTGGGTTTTACGCTCCCTCTCCCTCTCTGCCTGGGGGTGCACTTCCCTAATCAGAGTTGGTGTGTAATTTGGGATTTCTCCTGGACTTACGGTGCCTGTTTGAAGAGCAGGTGGCAGCTGTAGCAGGTGGGTGATTCGTGCAGTTTTGTTTTGTGCACCCATTCTTGGACCAGGACAGTTTGCTCATGGTGACCTGCCTTAGTGACCTCTTATTTGAATGACTGTTATGCGCTCTGCATGGCTGCTTCTAAAGAGCATTTGGAAGCTGCAGCTAGTCTAGAATGGGCAGTTTTTGTTTCTTTTGATATGCTTCTATAGCATCATGGTTCCTCAAGCTGCACTAGATCTCACTAGGCTTCTACGCCCAATCAAGAATATTGGTTACTACCTACAGTATACTACCTTACAGGCATAGGATCAGGCTGTCCCTCATTCCTTTTGCCCATCCCACCAATTCTACCCGGGAGGGTATGCTCTGAATACCTTCCATCTAATATAATATTGTAGTGCCACCTTATTAGACCCTTGAATTTTGCCTTCTCTGTTGCTGCACGTTATAAAGTGCTCCCTCTCCTATTTTTTCTTAAAGCAATCATTTCTGTGAAAGAGATTGGGTTGAGAGAGTGAGTAGCTCAAAGTTGCCCAGTGAACTTCTTTGATGATGAGTCTCCCTGTTTCTTCACTCCTGGGCCATTTTAGGGAGTATTAGTGTCACCGGATTTGAGAATTTCTGCTTTAAAATGTTGCATTTTGCATTACCTGGTGGAATCAGTTCTGGCAATAGTTTGACTATTAAATGACACCACTGGAAACCTAGAATATTTTTACGTTAATGATATCATGATGATGAGCGATTGCTAAACATAATGACAACTTTATTGACCCAATTAGTGACACAGATGCTGCTTCATTCAGATGGTGTCTGATACTTGCTAATGTACATATATAATGAATTACTTGATTTCTGAGTAGAATGTCTATAAAAGAGTTGGGTTCCAGAAGTATAACTCTGAAACTTTAACTGCTTTAAAGGGAAGACAGAAATTGTAGATAAATGTGTTGAAAGAACTGAATATATTGAGTGCTGTTTGGCAGAATTTAATGATTCTTTCATTGATCTGTAGAGTGTCTCCAAGAACAATAGCACTCCTAAAGACGACTGTCTTGTTTTGAGACTAGTGGAGATGAGGACAGGCAGAGCAAGAGTACAAAGCAAAAGAACACACTGGCAATAAAAGCAGAGTACAAAATCTGGCTAAGGCTATCCACCAAGCTCAAAGGAACAGCGAGGCATAACGTAGCATCTCCAGTCTGAAAGCAGGGGCAGAGTTGGTATGAGGGTCAAAAGCCAGAGGCTGAGTGTGAGAGTATGACTGTATTAGAGATGGATAGAAGAACATTAGTTGTTCTGAGTTGTGAGCTCATAAATTTTCTAGAACCACATCAATGCACTCAATAGGCTCCCAAACAGGTGGTCCTCCCCTAAAATATGGAATAAAGTCCTGTTACATCTGCTCCCAGGTTTGGCTTATGATCACTCACATTTTTGATCAACAACCACAATCAAAATCACTTTCAACCAAACACTGAGGCACAATTGGTTCTTTGGAATACATAGAGACCCAGTGAATTTAAAGTAATAGCAAAACTTTACTGTTTACAATGTACATTTTTCTCACATGTCTTTCTCACACGTGCACCCACCTATTCATCTGCACTTATCAATGTCCTTCTCAACTAGGCTGACATGCACTACTCAGAGGGATGGAAGCTGTCAGTCTGGATCCAAGGATGACTCATACAGGGGAGGGGGTCTTCAGGACCCTCTTTATCTCCCAAAGTCCTTGCTTGCTTTGTCAGCTACTCTTGCCTTCCTGAATTACAAGTTTGGTAGCTATTGATGGGATTTGGGGAAGGAGAGGGTTTACATGTGCTCAGGCCCAACTATTTTTGTCTGGTTCAGGTGGCATTTTTTCCTTTGTTTCTTTAACACTTGGTTCCTTCTTAACTAATTCCTCTAAGATAGGCATGTCAATCTCGCGACGTCATATGACGACGCGCGACATATCGCGACTTTTCCCCCCATTGCCGGCAATGGGTTGGGCACGGTTTTGGCGTGACACATCCGGCCTGTGGGCCAGAAGTTTGATATGCCTGCCCTAATGGATCTTTTAGACAAGATTTCTGGCTTTTGTCCATCTTCCTTACATACCTACTTCATCTTTAGATATCACAGGTTCAATCTAACCCTTATTCAAGAACATGTGGAAATGGGGGGGGGAGTCCTCACTTAAGAAAAGGAGAGAGTCCTTTCTTTAAGCTTGAAGTGACTTTGACCTCTTTCTAGCCAAGGAGAAGGAACATCTAGCTTGTGGTGCTCTGAGCCCATAACTTTCTTTCCTTGGTTTTTGAGCTGTTTGGCATGTCTCACAACTTATCCTTAAATTCTCACTAGGATTTCTCGGAGGAGATATGAGAACAATCTGAACTGAATATATCAGCAGGATCCAGATGGCAGTAAATATTTTTCAGCTGCTGGCAAGCTTTATTTTCCTAGGGTACATAATCTAGGATGCATAATATGCATCAACACCTGGAAGCCTCTACATCATTGCAAAGGGAGGTGTCTTCCATCTGAAGCACAGGAGAAGATGGGAGGGCACCCCAACTTTAGATATCTGATAACCTCTCATTATTTTTGAGGAGATGTGATTTTTCTGGAAAGTTGTCTGCTGCAACAAGAAAGTGTATTCTCTGTTGATCTGTCATTATAGAACCAGCTTTCAGCCTCTTTGCAGCCACAGAAAAGAACATTGCTGTGCATAGTCGTATCATTTGGACCTGTGATTGGACTCCGGATAGCAATTATTTTATTACTGGAAGCAGAGACAAAAAGGTAATGCATTTCAAAGGCTGCCTTTTGGTTGTTTTTCCTCTGGTTTTATTTTAAAATTCTGATCATGTTCTTCATGTAAACATGTAAGAATTGCTGAGAATGAACAACCTAGAATGCATTTTATTTTCTCTTAACCTAATTGCCCCAGGAAATCCTCAAAATCATTTTACAAGACAAAATAGATAATATGTAAGTCAGTGCTCGGGCTATAAATAGTTTAAAACCTTATAGATACAGCTTTTGTTTTTGAACATGTTTGAAATTATAGCAACATTTGGTTTTGAAGAAGCCACCCCAATTTTAAATAAATTGTAAATGAAGTATCTATAGTCAGACACTGCTTGCTTTCAGTGACTGTGTCCTTTGGGTATCTTTCATTCCTTTTAACTATTTAAACAAATATCCACAGGTAATCATGTTGAGCTGTAACAACATTTTTTTTAGAAAGCCTAAGGTTTAGGATTGGCTGAGATTTCTTCTTAGGTGTGATTGACTTTTCTTTGATTTTTAATTAGTGGCTAAGCCTATTTTAGGGCTTATGCTGACAAACAGCAGGCTATTGCTCCACTGAATTTGCTCCCAGTCAGAAAAAGTCCCACAAAAACTTATGCCATAGTATGTTTGGTTGACTTTCTTAATACCACTGGACAATTGACAAAGGACTGACAAATTCTGACTTAGTGTGCTAAAAAGCTGTTAATTGTAGTTACTATTGATCCCCCTTTCTTCATTTCCTCTGCAAAAAATTTCGAGGTAGGGTGGAGCATTTGCTTTCCTGCTAGTCTTTTGAGAAAAGTGTAATGTGTCCGATGTTTAGCACAAAGATGGTGAAAAGTTTGTCTAAGTGGATGAAGAGGGGTTATGCTTGAAGTATGCGAGTGGATTTATGAAACTTGGCATTATATAGATAAATAGAAAGACATTTGTTCAACATTTGCTTTCAATATTGAATTATATCAATGACTCATGTATAATGTTGATGTACTGTATGCGAATTATTAGTTTATTTTAACTGCATTCACTGTTGCTGTTTATATAGAATCAACCTATTTAATTTAAAGACCTGGTTGAGTAACAGCACTGAGCATGTACTTCATGTATTTTGAGGATTCACCATGAGTGGGCTCATGCAAACCCCTCTCTCTTTTAAGGAAGACAGTTAACTCTTCTCAATTTGCTTTATGATGGTGGTGGTGGTGCATGCAGGTATGTATGTGTATATGCATGTGCTTTGTAACGTCCCATTTTCAATATGATTGATTTTTGTACTTCAATCAGGCCGTGATCTGGGGTAAATGTTTAGCAGAGGAGAATAAAGATAAGGATTTGGGCCTGATCCAGCCTTGTTCACCAGTCCTGGATGTTGGTGATTCAGTGACTGCAATTAGTGCTAGTCATACACTTGCTTCTGATGGAAGGTATGTATTTTTTGTATTCTTGAGATTTCCTTACACATTAAGTCAGGATATTCCATATTGGTCAGCTTCCTAAAATAAAGCAAGAAACCTTCACCAATTTGCAGTATGCTTTAGAGTTTACTCAGCTTACTGTACTATTTCAGGTCATAATGGTTAAATGGCATATAATCTCTTGTAATTTTAAGCCTTATAGGGAGAGGAAGTGGCTAACATAAATTGGGAGGGAGGACGCTTAATACCATTTAGATGTAATACTACATATATAAAGACAAGGCCATCATGATTATAACTTTATACAAATATTTATGTACATACCTCTATAGGGTTTGAGGACTTTCCCCCTCTCACTAAAAATAATCCATGAATAGATGCAGACTTTTCTTTAGAACAGGCTGGATAACAGTCATGTTTCAATTTAATTTCATGAGGCCTTTGATCTTATGTTAAAGCCTTTGGGGATAAATCCAAACCTCTCATGGCTCTGTGTCTCTGTCTTGACAACTAATTGCTGAGAAATGACAATAGAGGTTAGCAAAAAGAGACTGAAAAAAAAGGAAAAACATCTGAAAAATGCGTGGTCTCACCCATTGTTCCCTTCTTATCCCTGAGATAATGTAGACTTTGACAGAAAAAGATTGCCCACACCTGTCTTAGGGTGACCAATTAATAATTTGATTAACTATATAATAATTTCTGCATCCTCTGCCATTTATCTGGGTTAAGGTTTAACAAAATACCATTTTTGGATAGAGGCTCATAGTGGCAGCTAAACTGCATCTTCCTCAATATTTATTAAAGATAATGCATGCTCAAAGATGATGTCATATTTGACAAGTAATACACTGAAATGAACATTTTAATGACACATAACACATTTTGTTGTCCAAGCTATGCCGAAGAAAAACAGATTGACAGTGGTCATTCTTCTTGTACTGCTCCTAACCCTTTCTCTTTCTCCTAGGTTTTTTAAAAAAGTTTGCAGATAGTCAGGGATGCTTTATCTAATTATATATTCATATAAAAATGGATATCTTAACAAAGTTTATCTGTCTTTAATCAGGTATATCTGCGGTATTTGCAATAGGATGTACATACTTCCATGTATGGCAAGGAAGGCTATATGTGTGGAACATACTGTCTTTCTTACAAGTCCAGTTTGAGTCTCTATAGGATTTGAAAACTCATCAAGAATAAATAGCCTGTAATGATATTATAGTCATGGTAAATGCTTGGGCATTTCCCCTATGCTGCGTTCATGTGTGTGAGAGGGATGGGGAGGAAGGAGCAGGGAGGAAGTAGGATGGTTAGAGGAGAAGGGGAGGGGAAGAGAGTAGGAGGGGAGGAGAGAAAGAGGAGGGAAGTAGGGAAGGTTTAGAGAGGGTGGACGCAGCCTGGGGGGAATGGGCAGGCGGTACCAATGGTTAAGAATTTATTTTAATTGAATTGTATTTTATATGAATAAATGGAAAATAAAAAACTTTTTATTAAAAAAAAAGAATAAATAGCCTGCTTCCTGTGAATACTAATATGTCACTGGAAGCTTTTCTTGACCTCCATCAGGTTCCCTACTGTCCCTGACACAAAGAGCTCCAACATAATCTTTTTTCCCCCAGCATGTCTAAAATTGCATAGATATTTGTAGCGAATAGTCATTATGATTGACTACAGCCAGAATTTTGCTTAAAAGCTGCCCTCTTGCACAGAAAAAGAAAAAAAGATCATTTGAGGTGATAAGCAGGGGTCCCCAACAACGAGGCCACACAAAGAAGCAAAGCGGGATGCAGTCAGCACACAAAACCACACCCCCTCCGGTCCATGGAAAAACCTCTCCCCATATAACCAGTCCCTGGTGCCCAAAAGGTTGGGGACCTCTGTGATAGAGGACATTTCAAGAGACATGAATGTTGGTGGAAAATAAGTTTGCCTTTGGTCAACATTCTTCTTCTTTGGCTGACTATAATAGTTGTCTGTGGATGTGCAAGCTAGCCTGCCATAGTCCCATGGAGCAAAGTTGCGTACTATACAAAGAAGCAGAAGTTTCTTTGGTAGTCTCTCTTATGTCTCATAGTTTGGGCATGCTTTCTTGAGAAGAGATGATTAAAATGTGGGACAGCCTTCAAAATTTAAGTATGCTATATGTGACAGAGGCAAAATACTTGTTTCAACACCTGACACACCTATTTCTTTTCTGTAGCTTCATAATTGCCATTGGGACAGAATGTGGGAAGATTCATTTGTACAAATGGAAGCCAGGCAATAAAAAGTTCCCATTTTCCGATTGGTGCAAGTGCGTTGAGACAGATTACAGGTGAGCAACTACATTTGTCTTATGTTTGTTAGCAGTAAAAGCAGACTTTATCGGTTTCCAGGATGTAGATTAAATTAGAACAGGGAAGCATCCTGAAACCTTCCGGAAATTTGTATTTCAGTTACTATAATCTCTTGGCACTGTCCGTGTTGACTACCAGTGATGGGATTTGGGCTGGAATGTTCCAAGGGCATCAGATCACTTATTTTTCAATGAGAAAGTTAATGTATGTTTAAAAAAATGCAAATATATAGCAATGTCTATGGAGATTCTTAGTCATTCAGGTCATGGCTATCCCAAAGGTGCTTTTTCACAAGGCAACTGGACTTTCTTTTTTCTCTTTGAAGACATTTCGCTTCTCATCCAAGAAGCTTCTTCAGCTCTTTGGGACAAATATATAACAAATATTCACAATGTTCTTAGTGCTATGCAATTGATAAACAGAGCATGTGCTGAATTATTTTGTATAAAGATTTGAAACATTGTGTGTTTGCATAAGATTAATTCTCCACCCATTGCAGCCCTTCTGTGCCCTCCCAAAGCCTCTGTGAAAGATTGGGGTCCCTGAGAAGGCTTTGAGGAAAGGGTAAGGAATTGAAGTGGGAGAAGGGCATCGGGACAAATAATGGATTGATTTGGCTTGTGTCAAGCAAGCCAAAGTTGGATATAATCTTCTTTATCTCTTCTTCCAAGTCAGGGTTGTCCTATTCATTCTTGCTTTCCCTCCCCATTCTCAGATTTGTTCAGGTGCACTTTGACTTCAGGAAGAAAGAGCCAGTAGCAGAATATGTAGGGATGTGATTCCACACAACAGACTGAATGTGTTCATGTCTGGGTCTCTGTATGGCTGCTCTTGGCCCTTTCCCACTCATGTTTTAAGTACCATTTCCTTGAATGCATATCAAGCTCACCTAGAATCCTTTGCTTTTGTCGGTGGTCTTTTTTCCCCATTTATATTCTCCTTAACATTTTTTAAAATAGCTATCTTATTTAGAGGTAATATTGGTAATATAGTGTAAAAGTGTAGTTTTGGTCAGGTTTAGATCAAGTAAATGTCGGCCTCATGGTACTATTGTACTGAGTTTTGTGTGTGTGATAATGTGATTAAGGTAAAGTTGATCAAAATTATACAGTAATATTTGACAGCTTTGTAATGATAGTAATCTCTGCACCCAGGCTTTATAATCTAGGGCAGGGGTAGGCAACCTTGGCTCTTTTATGACTCGTGGACTTCAACTCCCAGAATTCCTGAGCCAGCCATGCTGGCTCAGGAATTCTGGGAGTTGAAGTCCACGAGTCATAAAAGAGCCAAGGTTGCCTACTCCTGATGTAGGCACTTGCAACTGTAACTGATTCCTGGGAATTCATCTACCCAACTTCATATACCCCTATATTTATCCTGAGTAAGGAGAGAGAGCTTAAGTAGTGCAGCATGGGAAAGAGAGACGGTTTTTCTTTTTCTACCAAGCGGGCTATCATCCCAGATTCCTACACAGCAGGTTGAAGACTGCAGCCGCCGTTTTCCCTGGTGTGCTTCTCAGCCCTGGAAAAGGGCAAAGAGAGAATTAATAACACTCGTTCTTTATATAGCACTGTAGGGAATTCAAAGTGCCTCATGTTACGTTATCTTATTGTAATCCTTTCAGCTATCCTGTAAAATAGGTCAGTATCCTTTCCATATGATTCTTGTATTACAGATGGTGGGCAGAGAGAGAAGAAGGAGAGCAAGAAACTAGTTTTAGATTGCCCAACAGAAGATGGCAGAAATGAGGCCTTAATTGAATCTGGAGGCTTCTTGAATTGTGACCCGTTCTCTGAGTTAACTTCATTAATCTGTGCCAAATGCAGGAAATTCTGTTACATCCTGGCTTTATGGATTCACAATTCTTTTAATCCGTACTTTTTTGAGGCCTTACCTTTCTTTGAGTTAATAATCAGGGTTTCTGTTCAGTTTCTTGAAACTTCAAATTAAAAGTAGATCTAGATTTGGTTTGGCTCTTACACCGATTTTAAGTTATGTGCCTTTTGAGCTCTGGGTTGCAACTGGAACTGTATAGTAGGGTTGTAAAAGCCTAGTGAGACTTTAAATGTTTGAATTTCTCAGTATGCCATTAACATTTTCATTCATTTTAAGTGGACCCAAATGGCTTACTTGGTGTACCAGAACATCTGTTCCCCTTGCTCCTCCTTCAAGTTGTTTGCCTAGTTTCACGTACATACCATATCATACTGAGTCCATTTGGGCATCTTCAAGCAATATAAAATAATAACAATAATTATTATTATAAAAATACAATAATAAACACTCCATACTGTAATAGCTAGATTTTGTATAGTTTGCTTGGCACAATGTGAATTCTCTACATAAATACCAAGTCTAATTTACCAAATCAGTATTGCATTCTATAATAGTGCAAAGTTACGGGTTTTAAATTCTAGCTACCTAATTCTGGGATATATTTAGCTACCCTGGACAAGACTGAACCAAATTTAATATTTATTTTTAATTGGTTTTCGTTGAGGGAGTTCATATCTGTGAAGAACTTCTGAATAAAATTATTGGTTATTTTTTTCATACCGGTTTCTGGTTACTGTTATTTTTTTCCATATATTTTATTGATTTTTTTAAACATAAATCACTTAATAGCTGGTAAGCAGTGTGTTTGCTGGGTTTACATTTGTAAAGAAAAATCATTAACAATTGGTTTCTATAATCCATAATCCAGATAGTACATTTAGTTGATTTCCCCTTTTCCCCAAAATGTCTTCTTTGCAAACCTTGAAATAATACAGTTCTTATTATTTTGATAAATAACAGTTACATATATGATTTTTTCCCAATATCCCTAGAAATAATGATCACATCAATATAGTATTTCTTTTCTATCTAATTATTCTGGTTGCCTCATCTTATATCCTGTTACAGTCCTTATTTAGATTTGTTTCTCCCATAAAGTTCAAAGTATTCTTGCTCGTTAAGATTTTCTCAACAGTTAATTACATTTAAAGATTTAAATCCGTTTTTTCCATCCCAACACTTTTACATTTCTTAAAGAATAGGTAAAAAAGAGTAAAGAAAAGGAAAAGAGAGCAAGAGTAAAGAAACAAAAAGTAAAATACTACTTAAAATATATATTCCTCTAAGCTAATATATATTCATTCCCAAAATTTCTTATTCTTTTTAATCATGAGCAAAATATATATTTAATCTTTAAATATTCCATTTAATGTGCCTAGTCATCTAATCTTTTAACTCTTATTCAAAACTTCTTTTCTTTTACACATTATAATTTCCCTAAATTCAGACACATTTAATTATCTAAAACATTTCCTTCATCTAAGCCATTTCAGCAGTATTATATTACTTATATCAAAAAATAAAGTAAAAAAGTGGGGGGGGGAAGCATACAGTATTATTTAAGGAATTCCTCTCTTTTAGAATAACATATGTATTCAGAATCTTTTCTATTTCTTTAACCATATTCAAACAGATGTTTCTTTTTTAAATATTCTCTCTGGTAGATCCCATCATCTGTTTTCTTAATTTTCACTTTGATCTTTTTCCTTTGACCAGTATCTTTCTTGATCAATGTGTTTTGCTGAACCAAAATTTTTTTCCATATATTCGTGATTGTTATCCTATCTGTTTTTTTTTTTTGTCCTCAGATTTATTTTGTAGTCTTAAGGGATGAGTTGTTTTTTCCATTTCTTGTAAATTTTTTCCCACTAGGATTAAATCATGTTTTCTTGCTTTGTTAAGTTCTGTCTTTGAGTCTCTATTTTCAATTTTATGTCCACTTATTTGTTTTGACTGCTCCTTCTCTGTTGTTGTTTCCTGGAAGATTTTTTGTTGTAAAGTTAACTTAGAGATAGATTGATTTGTATTTTCAAAGTTATTTTAGATTTCTTTGTGATTTGAACTTAGTGTTATTTGAATTAATTGCAGTATATTATATATCTCCTCCTGAGAGGTATTTATGTTTTCTTGGTGTGTTCTGTCTACATATCTCTGATCCATGATGGCCAAAAGTTGGAGTTTTCCTTCTTATCTGCAAATAGCTCTAGAGTCCCGATAAATAGATATTTGTAAACCAAAGAGTTCAAAAAAAAAATTTTTCTCCTAAAGTTTATAATTCTCTCTTTGTCTGCAGCCCAGGTTGTTGTCTTTTTTTTGTCACAGCTGTTCTTTATTATTAAAGCTTTGAAGGTCACAAACACAGATTAGCTTTTCCCAGGTTTTGGAAAGTTCTCTATGGCAGGGCTTTTCAATCTTTTCATCCATTGTACCACTTTTAGGATATGGCAACATCCGAGTACCACCAGTCGCCTAGCAAGGTATCAAAAACTTGATGACCAAAAAAAAAAGAGAGGAAAAAGTGATAAAGTACAGGTAGTCCTCGACTTACAACAGTTTGCTTAGTGGCTGTTCGAAATTACAATGGCACTGAAAAAATGCCCCCCAAGCCATAGCCGAGCAAGATACCTGCTTACCAGCCCGGCTGCGCTCTTCCTCCTATCCGAGGTTTTCATTGTTGTGAGCATTTCTGTTGAGGATTGGCAGCGGGGTGGGGGTGGGGGGTGTTTGGTTTTTATTTCCCCCGTCTGCTGGGTGGTTGCAGCAGGTTTTGGTCATTTCACATGGCCCTGGGACACTGTGACCGTCATAAATGTGAATCAGTTGCCAAGCATCTGAATGTAAATCACAAGACCTGGAGATGTTGCAGTATTCCAGCTGATCGGCACTTCTTCTGGGCTCAGCAGAAGCGCCAGGATCAGCGCCGAGCTCCAGCTGGACCCTGCCGCTGATCCTGGTGCTTCCACTGAGCCCTGACAGTCCCGAAGAAGCGCTGATCCTGGCTTCTGCTGAGGCCTGACAGCCCTGAAGCTCCAGCCAACTCTCACTCAGGCTTGTACAGTGCTGCCACCAGTTCAGCTCATTCCTCTCCCCAGCTACCACGTTTCTAGGATGGTCACGTACCACCTGCCAAGTGCCAATGTACCATAGGTGGTACCCGTACCACTGGTTGAAAAGCCCTGCTCTATGGAAATCATAGCTGTCATAATCTTCATCCACCACTAGGTGTCAGCATCTATTTAGTTTTCAATATAACAATGGTCTTTAAAATGAGATTCTTAACCATTTAACAAACTTGTCCAAAGTTAAATTTTAGCTTTCAAGTTTATATAAATTTATTTCACTACTATATATTTTGATCCTCTATAGAAATTTTAATTTGCCACTTCTGTTAGTATAAGGATGGGACTGAAGTCCCCCTCCTTCACTTTCGGAGGTATTTCGCTTCTTGGGGATCTTTTCCAGGAAATTAAGTGTAGAATAGAAAAGGTAAAATCAGATTCCTCACCCGGTTTCAATCACGCTGTTTACTGTAGTGCTGGTTAGTTCTTTTGGACTCCGGTTGCAAATAGCTTGGGCTGATCAGTGAAAAACAGCTTTTCTCCTATCAGGTTAGAAGGCTTTCCCCCAATACAAACGGAGCGACCGCATCATTCCAGAGTCGCCGGGGCACCCTTCTTTCTTCGCTGCCTCTCCGGGGCGGCCTGGACCCATTAGGGTCTCCAGGCAGGATGAAAATTGGTCCACAGGGCTGCGGTTGTCCGCAAGCCCGCAACCAGTCACTACCATGCAGGACTGGAAGTCCTGGTTACTATTATTTTTAATTGTCCACCTTCGTCTTGTGATCTTTTAGCCATTGGGAGAATCCCTAGAAAGCTGTGGTGTGTAGACCCCCTCCAGATTTTTATCATTATTTGTAGTGGCATTTGGATGCATTGCATAGGGTCAGCTTGCCTTAAGGACACAATTTGGAATTTTTTTAAAAAAAAAATACATTTAAAAGCAGTGGTTTAAGAGCAAGATAAAATCTACAAGCTTTTACAGCCATAAAATCTATAGACCTAATGGCAAATGTGATCAATGAAAACCATGGGGGAAAGCAAAAGATAACCTCTAAATTAGGAAAGAAACAGCACACAAGCCTGCAAGGGAACTTCTGACCATGATTTAGCATTGCATCTGAATCAAGCACTCACTTCAAGCTGCTTATAGTCTGACTCTTTTTTTGGAAATTTCCAGTATGATTCTTAGCTTCCTGGGTAGCAGTATCTTTCTTAATATTGATGCTTGACCTGAAATTGCAGTGAAAATAAGATTCAAACTGCTTGAATTATTAATGGGATGAAGTGAAGAAATGTCACTTGCACTGATAATAGCTCTGGCATCTTTAATACCTACAGGCAGTGACAAGTTTAGTTTTTCCATTCTGGCAGTGTGGCAAAGGAACACTCTAATTAGATAAATGCTGATGTTTTGAATTGACAAAGTCCAGCTGAGTTTGACATTTTATGAATATGAGAGATGAGTTGAGTTTCCTTCTACTAATAGCTTCTTTGTTGCAGCCAAAGCCATACTCTTGCTGTCAAACGACTGCAGTGGAGAAAGCGTGTGGGCAGAGCGGGACAGGACACAGCCGAGAGCAGCAAGTGGCTACAGCTGGTGAGCTGCGGGGCAGATCACTGTGTGAAGATCTTCAATATCAATCGGCACAGCCTTTAAATGATGACTTTGAGGCAGACATACTCCACTTGCCTATCAGCCATTTCCTGAACTGGTTTTCTTAAAAGAAGCAAAAATTGGACGTCCAGCTCTTAGAGCAATGCAATCTGACACAAGTATAAACTGGACATACATTGAAGCAGTTTGAAAAATAATATATGGGTCATAGAAGGTTCCTCTGAGCTGAATCCACTGTAATCCTCAGACACCTAAAACAGATATCAAACTGGAGAAAGAGAATGCTGTTTCTTGCTTCCTTCTCATTTGTAAAAACAGAGTTTATATTTCCGCTTAAACTCACAGGCTGTTTTCACAATAGGGACTCCCATTTTGAAGCCCATTTTTGTGTCTTCCAAAGTGGTTGATGGGTAGTTGCACTAAAACCCTTGTTTTTGCAGCATGCAGACTAGGGAAATTTGGGGGGGGGTGGTTAGGGAAAATTGCAGAGTGGAGGAACATTTGCAACATTTAGAAGGGAGAAAAAGCAGAAATCAGAAATAATCCACACATGTAAGAAAGAGCAAGCAGTATGACACTGCACAGAGGTGCCCACGGATGAAGATCCTTGGTTGCTGCTATTGGTGGTGGTGCTGGTGGTACAAATTTTTGATACTGTAAATGTCCTTAAAGATTGAGCAGTCGGGAAAAGGAAGAGAGAAAGAAGAACATATGAGGTAATAATAGGAACAAAGAAGAGACCAGAGGGTCGGCCTGACTGGAACTGGTATGGCAGGAACATGGGTTGAAAGAAGAAGCAAGCACTGCAGAAGACCCTATGGCGGTGATTCCTGTGCTGGCCATCCTGGCTGCTGTGAAGGACAGGCTGAGAAGGGCAACATGAGGAAAGTTGCAACTCTCTGTAGAAGAGGAGGGAAGGGCAGGAATAAGCTCTTCCTTTAAATCAGAATATGGGTCCTCCTTCATCAAAGGGCCATGGTGGGACTAGGGTACTGAAGAGGGAAATCTTGAGAGTGTACATTGGCTAAAGAGATAGGGGGATGTTAGATTAATATAATAGCAACTGGTTAACACAAGGGGGATATTGAATGGAAGCTCCCAGTATGGGAGTTCTGGGAAGCCTCAAGAGTATGTGGATGCTGAGGAGCAAATTCCCACAGTGCCAGTTAAAAGGAGATAAGATTGGGGGGGGGGGATCCTGGTTGTTCCAGGAGGGAAATCTGCAGTCTTTGCTTCTAGCTCATCTGTATCAGTCTAGCTCATAGTATTATGGCCAAAGCCTGGCTCACTTAAAATAATCATATCACTCTGGAGATACAACATTGTTTTATTGAAGATGAATGTATGTTTTTAATAGAAATTTTTATTAAACTATTAAACTAGTATAGTGATAAAAAGCTTATACAAACTAAAACAAGAAAGAAGAAAGTAGAATATATGTGTGTGTATGTATGTATATGTGTGTGTGTGTGTGTGTGTGTACACACACACACACATATACATAATTGCATCTGCAACAATTTGATACCAAAATCACTCTGGAGAAAACCTCCAATTGATACATGGGAGGCCCGCACGGTAGTCCGGCAGTTCCAAAGACTGATGATGCACGCCATGATCAACGAACAGACAGATTGATACCCAAACCACGATAATAAAAAAACACCATGAGCATTGTGGAACCACTCTGTCATGTGAACATCTTGGCATCCTTAGTTCACAAATACACTGCGGTACAAAGAGCACACCAGAGCAAAAGTGATGTGTTAAAATGTAAAATGGAGACTCTAGCAATTGCAGATAAGTGAACGAGCGATAAGACATTGGTGCATAATTTATCATCCAAAACACTCACCGAGGGACAGGTTTCAGTTCTGCAATGGGATGCTGGCTTTAACTCAATGGATGCTAAACCCATTGACTTTGCGGCAGCCCTGGAATCAGTAATTTTCAGAATTGAAACCAATGAGGACACAAAGAACTCCATCAGGCAGTGCCTAACAGGACTCCTTATTAACCAGAGACAAAGTTACACCTTCTTAAGATCAGAAAAGATGGCCCTCCAAAAATTACGAAGGGACAGCTCAATCATGATCTTGCTGGCCAACAAAGGTAGAGCCACTGTGGTTATGGACAGACTGGATATAACCAGAAAATCCAGACCTTACTCAGTGATGAGAACTCCTACCAGGTTGTTAATAAAGCTTCTATGACAACACTTAGGAATCAAATCAATAAGGTGACCGATAGACTTAACAGGCAGGGGAAGATTCATGAGGACTTAAAAATGATCCGTCCCAGGGACTCAGTCACAGCACGCGTTTATGGGTTACCCAAAATTCATAAAATGGGTCCCACTGCAGCCTATTGTATCATTCAGAGGCACCCCAACATTTGGGTTAGCAAAGTGGCTGAATATACAACTCCAATATCTGGTTGAAGACACCTCTACCACGATAAAATCGGCTGAAGACTTTTTACAAAGGTTAAAAATGCTGACAGTGGAAGATGATGAGATCATGGTGTCTTTTGATGTGATATCGCTATTTACATCTATCCCCCAAGAAGTGGCTGTGTCAGTTATGAGTTGCTGCAGGATGAGGAAACACCGCTCCCTGGTTCACCAAACTCAGAAGATTATATACAACTCCTCAACTTTTGCCTGAGAACTTATTTTACATTTAGCGGTTCCACATATGAACAGATCAAGGGTACACCAATGGGATCTTATGAGTGTATTTAGGCTTATACATAATAACGGTTGCCCTGACCTAGTCGGCTGGCAGAATGACAATGGTGCTGTCATTTCGCAGTTCCTCTAAGGCTTCCTTCTCCGTTGCGAACAGGACATAGCACTGTCTATGGCCCATGAGCAGACCTGTGACACGTCTAATAGAATTCTTGGTCTCTCGTCACTGGTTTCAATCCGCTGGATTATTGGTTCCAGGGACGTGACAAAGTCAATAGATTGAGCATACATCAAGTTATGACCTGTGTCTCGCTGCAGTAGTCCAGTCTGTCCATAGATCAGTGTTCTTGACAAGTTGTGGACCAGTTTGCTAGTGTAGCCGCGACTGACGCTCTCAGGATCTCCATTTTGTGTCGGAGTACCTGAATACACTTGTAAGGCTAATGCCTTGCTTGATGATGTCAGTGCTTACCATTTCATCACAAAAGACCCAATGACCACTCTTAACCAACTCAACAACTAGCAGAGAAATTCAAAAGACAGGGCAAAATCAGCAATGATGTCCTGAAGACAATATGCGCCAAGGACTCGGCTATAGCCAGATTTTACGGGCTACCTAAAATCCACAAAGAAGGAATCCCCTTGCGACCGATCGTGTCATTTAGGTGCACACCAACCTTGGGCTTGGCTACATGGCTAAGTGGGCGGATTGGATATCTGGTGGAGAACAGCGAGACCACGGTGAAGTCATCAGAGGAGTTTCTAGGAAGGATAAAATCATTAAGGGTGGAGGAAGACGAGGTCATGGTGTCTTTTGATGTAATGTCATTCTTCACCTTCATCCTGCAAGATCTAGCTATCGCAGTAATAAGGAGCTGCTTACAACAAGAGGAAGAGTGACACCATGACCCATTCTGCACCGAGGACCTCATCCAATTCATGAGCTTGTGCCTGAGAACATATTTTACGTTCCAGGGTACCATATACAAGCAGGTGAAAGAGACGTCGATGGGATCCCCGATTTCGGGAATTATCGCAGAGGCAGTCCTGCAACAAGAGTCCAAAGTGATGTCCAAGTATCGGCCCAAATTTTGGGCAAGATACATGGATGACACTTTTGTTGTCATCAAACAGCAAAATAGTGCCAGGTTCATGAACAAATTAAATTCGGTCTACCCAGATATTTGGTTTATGGCAGAGGAGGAGACCAATGGCACTCTTGTGTTTCTAGAGTGCTGGTCAGCCGCCAGTCCAATGGCACCCTCCATATGACGGTCCACCGAAAAGTAACACACACGGACAGAATCCTGCATTATAGGAGCAATCGTCCCATGTCACATAAGATTGGATTCATCAGAACCACTCACTGCAACACAGACAGTGCAGTGCAAAAATTGAGGAGAAGAACCACCTCTATCGTGTTTGCAGATCGTGTTTTCATCAGGCAGTACAGCAGACAGCACGAGCCTTGCAAAATACAGGCACGCCTATGGCATGGATAACACTGCCTTACATCAATGGGGTGCCAGAGGCGATGGCTCGGTACAACATCAGCATAGCCCACAAACCAAACCTATCCCTATGTACCAAAATAACGCACCTCAAAGGAACAGTTACTCAATGAGGAAAGATTGTCAGTGGTATATAGAGTTAAATGTAATGACTGCCACTGTAATTACATTGGGGAGATGACCAAATGACTCAAAACTAGGATTCATGAGCACAAACTGGCCATTAGACGACACGAGCAATGCTCACAGGTGTGGATCCATATGGCCAGCAACAACCATTTGTTTGATCTTGTGGGGGACGGAGGCCATTGCCCAGGACACCTCCAAATGTGGCCGATTACTGAGGGAGGCTTGGCTGTCAGATGAGCACTCAATTAACCGCCACATAGACTTACTGCCTGCTGATCAGACACTAAGGAAGTGTGAACAACACAGGAACTCACAATGAGTGCAAAGAGCACCGCCCCCACAAAATCAGAACGGCCGGCTCACGCAACGGCAAGGAATTACAACCAGTGAAGGAGAGAAACCTTCAGCACAGTCCGCGCAGGAATCAAGAATGGGGAGCATGACACCACATCTACACATACAGCAGGGAAGGATGGCTATAAGACAAGAGGAACCAGAGGATGACTTGACAACAGCATATATCTGGACACGGCTAAAGCAGGCAGGAGCGGTAATGAAAGAGGTGAAGATGTCTGAATCCAAAAACATGCAGACGGAGGCGAAGCAATTAGAAGCAATATGGTCGACCAGAGCCGGCAGACCAGTGACGTGCTCAATGAGCAGAGCACTGAAACAGCCGGCTTTATAAGCAGACTTTCAAACCCTGGTGTTTTACTCTGATGACGGCAGTGGACCGACGAAAACTCAGCTTATTCAACAGTTGTTTTTACATTTATCCTGGAGCACGTGCATGCGAGAGCGCATGCGCGCACACACACACACAGAGAGAAAAGAAATGTTAAAGAAATGACTTCTCCCTTCATAGTTTTCTTTAAAAAAGCAGCCATTTGATTCCCAGGGGCCTGGAAGAAAGAATTCAGTTGTTCTGAGATTTCTTTTCCTAAGGTAGATGGCACTTTGTAAATGCTTAATTCTTACTTTTAAAAAAATTGCCTGCATTCATCACCAGCGTTAGTTATGGATGGTGTCTGATTGTAGACTGCCTTAGGATGCCAAGTATCTCAGTTTTGTCTCCATCATGGAAGAAAGCAGCTAGTAATGTCTTTCTTGCCAACACTTCACTGCATGATTCTGGAGTCAGAGAGGATTTAGCTACCTTTCTATTACACTTTGTCACTTGTCCTTCTTTAGAAAAATGAGCCTAGTCTGTGTCTCATTGGAAAGCCATGTTGAAATGTGTTGAAAGGGTATCTAATTTGATGTCAATGCAGTGTAGAATAAGTACTGCTGTAGAAATTCAGTCTAAATTAACTTTTATTTAGACTGCAGAAAACATGGCTCTTTGCTGGGCATTTTCTGCATAGAGCTGAAAATTTGATCAGCTTCAGTACTTTTCCTTGGCCTAGCTGTTTCAGTATTATTTCCATAGCAAGCAAAGATACGTTTAAGAATGTTCTCATATCAGGCCAGAGGGATAAACTACTCACTGATATATTTTTATTTTTTTCCTGTTCAAACCCCAGGATCTCTAGTTAAATCTTTTCATGCAGAGACCCTGGAGGCTCACAGACAATCAAATAGATAGCAACTTGCCAGAATTATTAAGGTGTTATTCTGTGCCAGGTTCCTTTATTAAACTGATTATAAAACAACAGTCTCAATTTTTATTGTGCTTCAAAAAGGAATAGAAGCAGGAGTGGAATATCATAGCCAATATGTCAGACAATTAATATGTTTCAAGGTCTTTGATTTTTGTGCAGTACTATTTTACAAATTATTGACTTGTTCAATTTGTATTTAGGATCAGTATTCCTATTTATTCAGTCTTTCTAGTTTCCAGCTATAATATGTGATTAAACAAATGGCTCTTTCCAGTTCAGGACTTGCAAGTGATATCTATTAAAACCATAAAATGCTGAAGGAGATTGAATAATATATAGTGTTTAAGTCAGTACTAGGAAAAATGATCAGTTGTCTTTTCCAAGAATCAATTCTGTTGTAAACATGTACAGGAGCATTTTGTAGTCTATATATAATTTAAGAGTTTATTTGTGTATAATTTGACTTTGCTTTTTTTTCCAGAAATTGGCTTGATTCTCAACTAGACACTAGAGCTCAGATTAAACCTTTCCCAATAATGACTTAATATTGCATTAACTGAACAAAGCCATGTCCATCTCCAAATCCCCTGCTAATTGTTGCCGACTGTAGGGGGTGGTGCTCATCTCTGTTTCTTTCTTGTTCAAAGTGGTGATCTAAACATGAATAGTGTTTATATCAAGTTCATAACTTGGTGAGATTAAGAGTTTCTTATATGAAGTAGTCATAGAACAAATCATTTTAAAAAGCTACGTGCAAGGAAGCAGCAACAATCTATTTATGAAATGGAGATGGATATTGAAGCATCGCCTGCAAGAAGTTTTGAAAGGAAGCATTTTTAGAGTCTTCACTGATGTCACAACTAACGTCTGAAATCCTATATGAGCCTTCTTTAAATAGATCTTTCTTTCATCTTATATTGGAAAATTGAAATGTTGAATACGTAGCAGTGAATGTTATTAGAACTTCATGTGAATCTTACTGATATATAAAGGAAATGTGACTGAACAAGTAATACCAAAGCTTGTTATTTCTTTTATATATATATATATATATATATATATATATATATATATATATATATATATATATATATATATATAAAAAGCATTCAATATGTGAAAAGGTAATTGTCCTTCTGTTCAATCAAGCCGACTGAAGCGACAAGCAGGACCCATTGTATTAGTATTTTACTAAAAAGTGTAGATTTGTACATGTATCCCCTCTCTTGCAGGTGTTTCCAATCTGCTTCCAGGTCCAATTCAATGTGCTGGTTGTTATCTTTAAATCCTACATGGTTTGGATCCAGGTTATTTGAAAGACTGTTTTTTCAGTTACATCTACCCGACCCACCGGAGAGGAGAGGTAGGCTATATTACCCCCACCCTATTAAGGCACTCTAACAAATGCTGTGATGGAAGCCCTTTGGGCTTTGGAGATCAAAAATTCAGAAAACATCTTGTCTCTGATGGCTTGTCATGAAACACTTCAGCCCAGACAAGGCCTCTCTGGATTTCCTCTCAGGATTCTCGTGTGGAAGTTGCTCTCATGAGGCTTCTGGAGCCTTTGAAAATCAACTGAGAACACTTGTGTGATTTTTGGATGCCTCAGAAGCTGCACAATAGCAAGGCCTTCTTGTGCAACATCCAGACAGTCTGAAGGCCTGACATGTCACCAAAAATGACATGGTGTTGTCACCTGTCATAGCTTTGCTATCACCAATGTAATGGGACCAAGAGGGGCTTTCTCAGTGGTGATTCCTTCCCTGTGGAACATTATCCCCACAGAGGTAAGACTGGCCCTCATTTGATACCCTTTTAAAAGGCTCTAAAGATAGTTTTGTCATTGGGTTTGGGGACCCCAAGGTCATATAGACTACATCAAGTGGCTGGTCTGTTGTCCCGGGGAGTTTATTGGGTTTTGTGTTTGGGGTTTTATTTCTGTAAGCCACCTGGAATCACTATGAGTTGAGTGACATTTTCTTAATAAATAAATAATTTGGGCTAGCCCTGCCCTGAATAAATCTCACAGATGTTATCTCCCTTCATCATTAAAACAGGTCTACAGTATTTCACATCCCTCCTTAAATTTTTTGACATTGGGGCCTATCACGATGGAAAAAGATTACGAAGCCATTTCTGATTTGAAATGAAAATTTGGGGCAATACAGGTAGTCCTCACTTAAAGACTGCCCTGTTTTGAACCATTCAAAGTTAAATTTGCACTGAAAAAGCAACATTACGACCAATTCTCATACTTAACAACCATTGCAGCATCCATATGGTCACAGGATTAAAATGTGGGCATTTTGCAACCAACAGGTGTCCTGGTCATATAATCATTTAAACACTTCACAGCCAGCTTCCAACAGAGCCAATGGAGACGTTGGCAATAAAATTGCCAGTCATGGTCATGTAAGGTGTCGCCTAATGACCTCAGTAACAACAGCAGTAGAATTGATTGGTGGAAACAAAACACTTGCTTTTCACAGTAAAAACTTCATGTCAGTTGTCAGATACAGGCATTGTTGTCTCATGGTTTTGATAGTGCTTTGTTGAATCAGGATCTGGCTAACCAGGAGAGTGATAATTAAGTATTTAGTTGCAGATATTGCAGCTACACTGAAAGTTGAATCTTGAGGTTCATACAGGTAGTCCTGATTTAGCAACTACCTAAGTTAGAGACTATTTGCAGTTATGACAGTGATGAAAAAATAACTTTACCACCAATCCTCGTGTTTATGAGCTTTTCAGATCTTTAAAGCATAGCAGAAACATATAAGCTCATAAGTATAGTTGCAGTTTCACTCTGGCTATTTCACTTAACAACTGAGTTGTCTGTCCCAGTTGGGGTTGCTAAACAAGGACTACCCCTGTATGTTCATATTTGTTTCAGCTTTTTTTCAACTGATAACAAGTGCAAGGTTTAATCCATGATTTTAAGCATCACATACTACAAAGTTGGGCAGTGAGTATACCCATAGGTGCATGCAAGTACACATGCACACACATGAGAACATATAGCATGTGAGAGATAGAAAAATATCAAGCCTTTTCTTCATCCTAGCAGAAGGTCGTGTTCCTTCACTATTAAATTTATTTGTGGACTAGAATACACAATAAGTCTGAGAGTAGGATTAATACCAGAGAGTTAGTGTTTTTTGCCCTCTCCCAATGATCTCAATCTCTTCCAATGTTGTCTTCTTGGTATTGTCTCAGGAACTTTGAGATTGCTTGGATGAGACTTTAAGCCCTCATCAACAGTCATGTTGACTTTGCTGACTTGATACTTTTCGTAGCAACAGAGCGATTATCATTTCCCCCTAACATAGCTCTGATTAACTAAACTGGACTCCTGAGGGCTCTGCAAGCAATTCCTTGAATATCTATGGTATCCGTGTTGTCCATGTGGTATGTCATTTTAACATGGATAACACTTATGGATCACTTCTTACATATTAGTCATGACAATGAAATGTTAACAAGGATGCAGAAAAATATAAATCTTGTGCATAATAAATGAACTAGACTGTTTTTTGTACCCCTAAAACTGAATTATCTGAAAATATAAAAGGTAATGTTCTGTATTTTTGACTGCCTCCAAGGAATGCATGTAAGTATGCACACACAAAAAATTATTTCATAAACATTTCCAATACACCAGTTAGCTTATATTTCTTGTGTTTGTTCCTGTGTTCATTTCTTATATATTGAATTTATCACTCTAGAAGTTCAGCTATAGGAAGATGAACAATATAAGTTCAGCTGATATAAGTTCCAGATCATCTGGCACAAATACAGTCAAATCCAATTCAGAATAAACAAAGTTTCCTGTGCGGTACATTACGTACATTAAAATAAAGTAACATAAAGCTCTATATGAAAATTCAGCAAAGAAATCACCAAGTAATAGTTATGTTTTCTCTATTTTATTAATAAAACAGATTTTTTTTGCAACAATTTATTAAAAATGTATTTTCATGCAGTATAAGGGGTATACAAGAAATTCTCCAAGTTCTCTCATTCTTCCTCTCTGTTGCTTCTTAAAAAATAATTCTTACTGGTCCAGTCTGGGTTGAAGCATTTGTGCACTGTCGTTATTGGAAAATGCCATTGGGGCATAGCCTCATCATAATTTTTTACAGGACATTTTTGCTGCAGGTTATAAAAAAAAAACCAGAAACATTGAATAGCTATAGTCATTTTATGGGTCTTATTTTCTGCAGGAAATTAGAAAAGAAAAGAAAACTCGTGGGAGAAACTACAGTTGCATTTTAGACAAAGAATGTACTGCGTGATTTAAACCTAAGGAACAGCACACAGTCAGTAGTCACAAAGAGTTACAGACACACACACTCACCGCCAAGAGTCCAATACTTTTGATTTTTTTTGTTTTGTTTCCTGCTATGTTGGAATAATATCTTCTACAGAAATGTTTGTGTATACATTATATACAGTATTATTGTCCTTTTTTGAAAAGTAATATTTATTTGTATTAAATAAAGTCCTGATGAAGTTTATTCATACATTAAGAGAATACTGTTAACATACATACATGCACGCGCACAAGTGCGTGCACGCATGTGCACACCCACACCAGACAACACCTTCAGTGGTTAGTGCTCAAACGGAGTAATGTGTTCTACTTCTTTTGTGGTAAATTTACTCACTGTGGTTCTAACCCTTCCAGATCCCTGCCTGATCCCTCTCCATGACGTGTGTTCAGGGAGCATTTCTGTGATACCTTCAAGGGATTAAGATTCATGGGAAATATAATCAGGCAGGTAGGATCAGCGGCATCAGCAATGACTGGGTTGGCATATTCTTTCTTGTGCAGACACTAAATGCTATTCTGGGGACATTTGTGGAACAGGTTCATTCCTGTGTGGGAACAGAAAGTGCAATAGAAATAAACTACCTCTTCTTCATCATACTTTCTTTTACAAGCTATGGTTATCAAAAGTATGGTTTTCAAAAAGTGGCCAGTTCCAATGTTGAGCAGTGCAGTTTGGCAAACTAGTATCAATTATAGTGTGAGAATGGCATTTAAGGAAAATGGAAGTGATATGACAGGCTTAGTTTGTTTGTTTTTTCTTGTCTGGCTAATCATTTAGGTCCAGTGCCAGATTTTATTTTATTTTATTGCTATTTTTAACAGCAATACAAAATATTCTGAATCAATAGGTTACTGGGATGAAGGAAGAATAGTTTTTTTGGGTGGGGAAAGGTATTTTGACCATCTTCTGCAACAATCAGGCTCTGAAGTGTGCTTTTGTGCCTTTCACATGTTAGGCACATCTTTATCACAGCGGGCTTTGTGATTTAATCTTGCTCAAGATCCTGACAGACTGTGATTGATGCCTTCCCAAACGATACATATATTTCAACTGGTGGAACTATACAGTATGTCATAAGCAGCTCCACTAGTTAAAAACAAAATCAACAAACCTAGAGGCATGAAAAAGTGCAGACTTGAGCTTTCACTCGAACATCCTAGGAAAGTGGTGGCAAACCTATGGCACGCATGCCAGAGGCGGCACTCAGAGCCCTCTCTGTGAGCACGCACGCCATTGCCCCAGCAGAGTTCGCCATAGTAGCGAGCATGTGGCATTTGGAAGCGGCAGGACAGGAAGTGAGCGGGCAAGTGGCATTGGCCCCCCAGGGATGCCCCGGAGATGGCGAGGGACTGGCCACCGCCCCCCTGGCCACAGCCCCGCTCACCCAGTCTGCTGGACCACTGTAGCCACACCCACCCAGTGGGCCATGCCCCTACGCCCCCCCCCCGAGGGCACCACAATGCTGATGTAGCCCTGGCACTTTGCAATAAATAAGTGGGTTTTGGGTTGCAGTTTGGGAACTCGGTCTCTAAAAGGTTCGCCATCACTGTCCTAGGATATAGTAAGGCAAGGGCCATCTTAACCCTTGTTTTTAAGCCCCTCCCACATTGAATGCGCAACCTGCAGCAGTGAAGGTGTTGTGAGTTACACAGCAATTGGAAGTTCATCCAATGTGGCATTTCTCATGTGTTTGGCCAGGAAAGAAAGGCATCTCCTGAAGTTCTCCATGCCATGTAATTGTAAAGGATCCAGGTGCCTCTCTTTGGATTATGCATGCCCAGTAATCTTAATCCTAGCAAGATGTCCTAGAACCATTAGGATAAAAGCAGCACATGTGTGGATCAAATCTTAACAGTAAGCGATGGAAGCCCATTTCATTTGAGTTCACTCGTGTTGCTTTCTAATTCATAGCAGATTCAGTTGCTCCCAGGAAAGATATTGATTAAATCTATTCTCTTAGGTGGAATCTACAAGAGAGAAAAACCATTTTGCTTCAAATTATTGTATACCATATTTATCTTTTTGTCTTTTTTTTTTATTCAAACCCCAACACTGGGATACTTGGTTCAGCCTATCCTATTCTCAACGGCCACTGTCTCTCACACACGCAGATGTGAAGCAAAGGGTGGTGTCTATATGATCTCTGATTCTGCAGAATTCAACTGCAGCAGCGAAGTGTGGTGCCTAAGGGCCCTACTCCCCTTGCTCATCTGCTCAATTACCTGTACTATTAATTATGCTGTGGTTTAAATCAAGCAAACTCAGGGAGAAAAATCCACCGTATGATATGAAGATTTCAGTAGCAAACCTTAAGCATTGTCAGACCTAGCTTCCTGCTATTTGCAGAAAGTCACCCCAGGATTCAGCCAAGCACACAATGTCTTAACAGGAGGAAGAGTATCACTCCCCAAACCTGGGATGCCTGCTGTAGCCACTCTGAAACCTTGGCCTTGGATTTGCTTCCCCCCAAAGCATTTTCTTCTCCAAGCGTATCTTTAGTTGAATGACCTGGACTCAGTGACGCTGGAATTATTCCTAAAAGTCTCCTTTTTCTCACTGAATTTAGTTCCAGGAATTAAGGTCAGCCCAACTAACTATGGTCTCCAGAAGCTGAATGCAACCCCTGGTATGGTATCCATTTTAGTTACTTCAGCACTCTTTTGATGAGATTTTTCTTTTCTTCTTCTCATGTTTCACATTTTCAGTAGTAGTTTATAGCTTAGGGATGCTGCGTGGGGGTCTGTTGTATTTTTTTTTTTTTTTTGGTCAAGTTTAGGTTTCTCAGCCACTTTGCCTCCTATAGAAATTTGAGAAGAAACATGGTTTTGGTCTTTGCAAAGAAATAAAAACGTCCACAAGTAAGGCTACAGAGCAACCTCTGCCTAACCTCTCCGCTTCACATGCTTTTTCCCAGCAGCGGAGCTGGCCCTCCCTTGATAATGGCCTTATAGCACTAGTTTCTCTGTGGTAAGAGTAAGGATATGTAGAAGGCAAGAGTTCGACACAAGACGTTCAGTCCAGCCATCGACTACCAAAAGCAGTTCAGGGAGCTCTGATGTCCTCCTACAGGCCAGAGACCATCACACGAAAAGATGGTGGCACATGTCTGTGCCGTGGACTGGCACTGGGGCTGACACATGGACTGGCACAGCTGGCATCAACTCCTCCGATGGATGGCAAATAAGCATGATGAAGAATGGGCAGCTGTAAGGAGAGTCGCCGCTGTATGCTGTGAAGAAAGAACACAGAAAGATAAGGATGTTTTGGTTCCCACTAATGAAACATTTCAAAGAACTTCCAGGCAGTTATTTTCCTAAAAGTCTTTTATTGTTACAAAATGTCAGCACAGACACAACGGAGGGATGCTAGGATCTAAGTTCTCTTCCTCTGAGCAGTTAAATTATCAGCATGTTCCCTCCCTAAATTAGCGTCATATCTCACATTATCCAGTTAGTGTGAAGGTCAAATGTTTTCTTCCTCTTTCTTTCCCAGGCTTTACGCCCAACCCCCCTTCTGCTCTGTATTAACCCCATAATTACCAGAAAATTCTATATATTGTCAAAAGCAAGAATATACAATATTTGCAGCGTTGACAAAGGACAGTTAGCCAGGTATTCAGTACTGTCGAGGGCTGCTAGCAAAGGGCCCCTGACTTTGGGATGCATCCACTGGGAACTATATTAGAACCTCAAATGATTCTGTAGCTGCAGCTGCAGCTGCAGCCAGGACAATGAACAGAACATCCTCCTACGTTGTATTCTTTCCTGTCTTACTAAGTTATTCTGTGGATTTTAGCCTCCTGCTTTGTGTTTCTTTTTTTATTCATTTATGGAATATAAAAGGTACTTACCCAGGGCAAGATTAATACTAGTGCATGGCTGTTTTAATACAGCAAGATACTCCATACATGAGCATAAGCATTTCAGATCTTTAGGGAGCCATCTCGATGTATTCAAAAGTTAAGACTTCCCCAAATTATCAGATAATTACTAGTTTGTCGCAAAGGAACATGTTTTGTATAATCGATATGCAGACTTAACATGAAGATATTTTTAATTCTTGTGAACATTTAGCAAGAAAGAATTACTTTACTTACTGTTCTGGGGAATTGATATCTTCTATAAAATCTTTGCTTGTTCTGGACGGCTCTGTAGTATTCCATTGTGCTTGTGGATTTTGATCAAGATGATTTTTCAGCACTGTTTTTTCACCATCTGGACAAAAAAAAATATTTTCAGACATTTATTAAAGGAACACTGTGAGGTGTTTTTCTCTATAATATATTATTTGCAAAACAATGTAATTATTTTACGAACTATAATATTGTTTCTCAAAAATTATTTGTTTGACCTAAAACCTAACTCCAACTAGACAACAATATTTTTGTGGTAATTAAATAATACTATTTCTTATTCAGATTGAAACGAATTATAAACAAAGTAGATAAAGAAAAAAGAAATTTCTCCCCCAAACTAGCATTTACAAAAGACACACACACACACACACACACACACACACACACACACACACAGAGTCTAAAATTAGAATTATAAATAAACTCAGTTGAACTGAAGAAGCTTCTTGATGAGAAGCGAAATGTTTTCAAGGAAAAAAACCCAAGAAAGTCCAGATGCCTTTTGAAAAGCATCTTTGGGACATCCATTACCTGGATGATTGAGAATCTCCATAGACAACAACACTGAACCTCATTGCCCCAGTATTCAAGTTAATCTCTTTATTTTAATTCATAAATTCGTTCCTTTGTATTATATATGAGATGAATGAGGTGTTTGGTCTCATTCCTTTCTTTTCCTCATTTAAGATCAGGATCTGGATTAGGGAGCAATGTATGAGAATGGTGACTAATAAAATAGATGACTAGAGCTGAGTTATGCAAATCAATGTGGATTAAGTTCCAAGAATGAGAAAGAAATCGAGATCAAAAAAATCTCTGTAATATTGCCTTTGTAGATTGTTTGGGTAAAACAGTATTAATGAGGTGCCTACAAAATTTCACTGACATTATGTAAAATAATGCTATCATAGCATAGGGCTGGCTCTTGTTCTGTTTTACCACATAAGGGACACATGGAACCAATGCTTTTTATATAACCAAATCTTTATTGGGCCTTATAAATTCCATACCTTTGCTTTCTGTAAAATTGCGTATACTGAGAATATCATTGAGCTCCTGATAGTGGTTCTGTTTAATATACGTTGTTTTTTCAGGTGTGTCCTGAAGCTGCATTGTGACTTCTTCTAGAGCTTTGTCCAACTGTTAAAAGAAAAGAATGTTATAAATTATATGAAAACATTTGTTATCCTTCATTCTACTTTTTTTGTCCTACTTTTTATGGACTTTATGGCTTTTTACGGACACCAGCTTTGTGTAGTATATTTATTTTAACTATGCATAAAGGTACACATATAAAGAAAGAACTTAAACTACTGTTATTCATCTGTGGAGACATCCATAGATAATGAATCATAAAAAAATCCTTTCTTGATAGTATAGTATTCCTATTTCAGTGCTGTTTCTTTGCAGAGGTTTCCTGAGCATGTGATAGAATGTATCCAACATCTTTAAAAAGTCACGTAAGTTTTGTCCTATAAATAAATATATTGTTATTTGATCATGCTTATGTGTATCCATAAGTACTAAGATTCTTACATATATCAAACCGGTTCTCAGTTTGATGAGTAACAGAATTACACAATAGAAATGATATTGTAAGGTGAAATGGTCAAGGCAAGGACTACTTGCTTTGATTTAATTTTTCATGTGTTATTCCATATTACGTGTTAAGACTAGACTTTGTTAAATTGTTATAGATGGGTGCTTAGTTTAGGACTATGAATTCTGACAGCTGCTACAGGCATCCTTTGGGAAAGTTCCTTCCTCTAATTCTTCTCATGCTCCTAAAAGTAGACAGCAGCATAAAAAAATCTAAGCAGTCCCCAAGGTTTTGGTAGCTATAAAATGGCATTGTGAAAAATCTGGAAAAGCATTCTTTCTTGGTAGCTAGATGGTGACTGTTATCAAGCGGGTAGTTAAGGAGATCATTCTATTTTAAAAGATGTCCTTGAAAAGGAGAAATTTGCACTAAAATCTCTCCATCTTGACATTCCATCTGTTTCCCCAAGTACTATAGATTGTTCAATGCAAAAAATATAGAGTAAAATTTATAACTATAAATGCTATTTCTTAGAAAACATTCTCAGATAAATCTTTATTAAAGATAGCTGACAAAAGGTTTCCTATAACTTCTCAAATCATCCAGCTGATTCACAGCCTTAAGCCTTCTAATGTTTTTATACCTGAAGAGTGAAGTGGCCCTAGCTTTAATTAACTTTGTAATGTGATTGTAAAACCTAAATTAGCTGAGATGTTCATTTAAGCTTCAAATATTTCTCCTCAGCTTCCTGTTACAAATGAATTAATAAATAACAAGAGCCATCATATTAACTTAAGCAATGCAAAAGACACTGAAGTGCATTTAAACCTCTCATGCAAAATTACTTTAAGATTTGAATATTAAGAAATCTCTTCTGGCATGGCTGAATTTCATCATTCTCCATCTTTCCACTAAAAATAATCTTCAAGGTAGCTCACAGTAAACCGTATATAAATCAACAGAGTTAAAATTAAAACATTAAAATTCTCTAAATTAAAACAATAAAAATAGGCAACAGCCCACCAAATTAAAACCTAATGCACTTCAGCAGAAAGTTAGCAAATACTAAACTGTGTGTGTGTGTGTTTTAAAACATATTTGCCTGGTGGAAGGATGCAGAGATGAAGCTATCCTAGCTTCTCTTGGTAGACATTTTCAAAGGCTGAACACTCACCAATAAAGACTTATGATTATGAACTGTGATTTCTCTCATGAGCAGAAGAACATTTATTAAGAGAGTTTGTCCCTAGTGAAGTCAATGAAGGAAATAAGGAAACGGCAACATCTATTGAATTTTTCCTCTTCATTGCTGTGAGACTGGCAGAGAGGGAATAACAAGCCCTTCCTACTTGCAATTCTTGATATCAAGTGTGCAGAAGTTCTTGCTTCATAATTTTACCAACTTGGCCTAAAAGGAAAACTGAAAACTCATTTCCATTAAGGGATAAATAAAGGATGCACAGTAGATTTTTAAGAATGGCAAAAACACCACCAAACGTTTCATTAGCCCTACAAGATAGACCGGAGTAGGAAACTTACTCCAAGGGAAATTTAGAACTATGCTCTTTTAGCGACACAATCTTGCAAATCTACTTGTTGACCTAATGGCTTCTGGATTTGTTATCCAAGGCCATCTCCATGGCTTCCTACATATACTTTTAAAAACATTACCTTTAGAATGGGATAAGTGGTCTAGCACAGGGCTTTTCAACCAGTGGTATGGGTACCACCTGTGGTACATTGGCACCTGGCAGGTGGTACGTGACCATCCTAGAAAAGTGGTAGCTGGGGAGAGGAATGAGCTGAACTGGTGGCAGCACTGCATAAGCCTGAGTGAGAGTTGGCTGGAGCTGCAGGGCTGTCAGGGCTCAGCGGAAGCCAGGATCAGTGCTTCTTCGGGACTGTCAGGGCTCAGTGGAAGCTCCAGGATCAGCGCCAGGGTCCAGCTGGAGCTCGGCGCTGATCCTGGTGCTTCTGCTGAGCCCAGAAGAAGCGCTGATCAGCTGGAATGTTGCAGCATCTCCAGGTCTTGTGATTTACATTCAGATGCTTGGCAACTGATTCATATTTATGATGGTCACAGTGTCCCAGGGTCATGTGAAGTGACCAAAACTTGCTGCAACCACCCAGCAGACGGGGGGGGGGAAATAAAAACCAAACACCCCCCACCCCAACCCCACTGCGAATCCTCAACAAAAATGCTCACAACAATGAAAACCTCGGATAGGAGGAAGAGTGCCACCGGGCAGGCAGGCAGATGTCTTACTAGGCTGTGGCTTGGGGAGCACTTTTTTCAGTGCCATTGTAACTTTGAACAGTCACTAGGCGAGGACTACCTGTACTTTATCACTTTTTCCTTTTTTTTTTTGGTCATCAAGTTTTTGACACCTTGCTAGGTGACTGGTGGTACACGGATGTTGCCATATCCTAAAAGTGGTACAATGGATGAAAAGGTTGAAAAGCCCTGGTCTAGCCCTTTCCTTTACTTCACCTGTCACACTAGACAGATATGAATATTATATCATGTTCTCATTTACAAGGTTTTTACAAGACTTCCATACTGTCTCATTTGGGCTATGTATGTGTGTTTTACATAGTGCACATCATGTGTGTGTGCATATGTGTAAAAAACATGTAAAATGGTAGGGCGGATTAAAACAAATACATTTTTAATCTAAAATGAAAGCCAAAGCAAATTCAAGTAATCATACAGTAGTGGCCAAAATTGTGGAAACCTTTTGGGAAAAGTGTACAGTAATAGTAATAGTAATAAAGTTGGAAGGGACCTTGGAGGTCATCTAGTCCAACCCCCTGCTCAGGCAGGAAACCCTACACCATTTTGGACAAATGGCTATCCAGTCTCTTCTTAAAAACTTCCAGTGTTGGAGCATTTACTGCTTCTGGAGGCAGGCTGTTCCACTGATTAATTGTTCTCACTGTCAGGAAGTTTCTCCTTAGTTCTAGGTTGCTTCTCTCCTTGATTAGTTTCCACCCGTTGCTTCTTGTTCTGCCTTCAGGTGCTTTTGAAAATAGCTTAATTCCCTCTTCTTTATGGCAGCCCCTGAGATATTGGAATACTGCTATCATGTCCCCCCTTGTCCTTCTCTTCGTTAAACTAGACATACCCAATTCTAGCAACCGTTCCTTATATGTTTTAGCCTCCAGTCCCCTAATCATCTCTGTTGCTCTTCTCTGTACTCTTTCTAGAGTCTCAACATCTTTTTTACATCGTGTTGACCAAAACTGGATGCAGTATTCCAAGTGTGGCCTTACCAAGGCATTGAAGAGTGGTATTAATACTTCACGTGATCTTGATTCTATCCCTCTGTTAATGCAGCCTAGCACTGTGTTGGCTTTTTTGGCAGCTGCAGCACACTGCTGGCTCATATTTAGGTGATTGTCTACTAGGACTATAAATGCCACTTTTGGTTAAGTTTCCACCAATTTTCTTCTAATTTCTTTATAACTGTAGCCTTGTTCACTTAATAATACTATTTTACATCGCTTTCTGGGCAACCAGTCAACTCTTTGCACCATTACTTTAATTTTATTATGTTTTACAAGCTCACTAAATGAAAGGAAAAAAACCCCAACCAACTTGATAGCGATCACATAACACACTGACAAATGTCCTCCTCTCAGCTTCAATACATGACATCAATAACTGCATCCTACTGTGATCTGATTGGCTCATTGCCAAAACAAGATGACACCTGATTGGCTCTCTAAACACTCATGCTCATTGGCTACAATCAGATGAAGGAAAGATACCTGATATCAACCGAAGCAAGTTGTGCTTCCTTTTTCTGGTTATTTGGCTATAACTTTTCATAGAATATAGTACAGATAATTGAACAAACTTTGTTACATTACATTCTTGATTAAATTATCTTTCCATTGATATATAATTTTATGGTACTACTCCCAAAAAAGTGGTGTTATTAGCCATCAAACCTCAAAAATACACTTTTCCCAAAAGGTTTCCACAATTTTGGCCACTACTGTATTTTCTGAAGAATGTTCCTACATGATGCCACAGATCTAGCAGATGGCCAGCAGCAAGCTCCATATAATAAATAGTCCAATCACTATGTCAGTGCAATTAAACTTCACTGCAATCCAACTAAATTTTGGAACGTTATGGTCCACTTGAGTTTGGTGAGATAGATTTGGGAAGAGTTTACAAATTTCTGCTCCATTCCATTATTACCAGTTATTTAAAATGGCAGTGTTCCAGTGTTCCAGCTAGGATGCAGTACCAACTAGAGAAGAGGAGAAAATTATCAGTAAAATCTCATTCAATTATGAAGATTGGTTAGTGTAAGAATCTTTGAGACGTGTGTATAAACTCATTGTGGTGTAGTTGGGAATTTTTTTTCTGCCAGATTTAAATTAAGGAAGCCCTTTTTAATATTGTATTTAATATTGTACAATATTGTAATATTGTATTCCATTTACTCTCCTCTCCCCCACTTTGTTATAGGAAAAAAGAGTAGTATTGTATTTTAAGTTGCCTGGTTAGCATTGGACATCAAATTGATGATACATAATCTATCATCTATTTTTTTTTCTCAATGGGTGTTTTTGTACCTAGTTAAAGTGGCTAGTTTTCCCAGTTGCAATGTATGGCTGTGAAAATTGGACCATAAGAAAGGCTGAGCGCAAAAGAATTGAGGCCTTTGAACTATGGTACTGGAGAAGACTCCTGCGAGTCCCTTGGACTGCAAGGCGTTCAAACCGGTCAGTCCTAGAAGAGATCAACCCCGACTGCTCTTTAGAAGGCCAGATCCTGAAGTTGAAACTCAAATACTTTGGCCACCTAATGAGAAGGAAGGACTCACTGGAAAAGGGCCTAATGCTGGAAAAGATTGAGGGCAATAGAAGAAGGGGATGACAGAGAATGAGATGTCTGGATGGAGTCACTGAAGCAGTAGGTGTGAACTTAAATGGACTCCAGAAGATGGTAGAGGACAGGAAGACCTGGAGGAACATTGTCCATGGGGTCGCAATGGGTCGGACACGACTTCGCAATTAACAACAACAAAGTGGCTAAGGGATAAATGAAAATTTATCTTTCTTTGTATAATCAATTCTCCAGTGATATACCCAGATCTACCATCCCACCACCAGTTGACTGCAAAATGGATAACGGTCATAGACAAAGTGCTTGGAAACTGGACTTCTGCATCAGGAAAGCAGATTGATTGGGAAAGTCAATATTCTCTCACTATGCTCTTTATCTGATACTTGGGGAAGTTAATTGTGTCCTGCAATCTTAGAATGTATCATAAGAACTACTGTGATTATTGTATTTGCATTATATAAAAGCAAAACACCTGTTCGGGACCAGCAAGAGTAGGGTGGCAGCCCACTCAAGAAGCAGACTGGGAATGGAAAAGATCAGGGGCCTACCCCCCCAACTTTGCTCTGAAGTCTCAGAACAAGACTACTCACACCAATTCTTCACTTTGAGAAATGCTACTGCTGCAGTCACATACCCATGCAGTTTTCTGGACTAGGAATTAAATCCAAATCCTTGCTGTCAGGAACTCTTCAGAATTTGGTATTGCCTGGGAGTGGTCTTGTGATAGCAGGCACATAAAGGCAGGAAAATATATAGCAGCAGTCCTCTATCTTAGGTAGTTGATCTGTTTGGGCTGCCCTTACTCCACACTCTCTGTCCTAAAAACTGGATTTGAAGCAAGTTTCTCTTTCCTGTTTTCCAGGAAATCAATTGTTTCCTGAAATCTCGGGGAAGTGGAATCATTCTAGAGGTCAGGAATTGCAACAGAGTAGGTGTGTTTCCTGGGTCCTGCAAGATTACATTCTTTAATTGATGGGGCCCAGAGTGCACCCACCCTGCTGGACTGTTCTGGAGAGATGCAGATAAATGAAAATGTTTGCTTTCTCATTATCTTCTGACTAGATTAGTCTCTGCTGCTGGTGAGAAGAGCCAAATGAAGATGAATGATAAATCTAAATTTTCAGCAATTCCACTAATCATTTACATAGCCTTTCTGTTATGTATCATTTTAGCAGTGTGCTGGATTTTGTCATTGCACGTTACATTAAACACCTTTTAAAAAGAATAATTAAAATTTTCCCACTAGAGTACATATGGATTAAGATGTTAAAAAATGGCCCTGGTGGGTTATGAACTCTGCTTTTATTATACTAAAAATGAGTCAATGCTCAATAACATGGTTTTATTTTTAAAATGTCTTACTTCTTGAAGTATAGAAAATCAATTACAAGTAATGCTAGCAATAAATAGTATCAGCAAAATAATGGATGATTGTTCTGTTCTAATAACAATGATTAAAAAATCCTGGCTGAAAGTTCTATCAGTTCATAGCTAAAAATACATTCTACATTTGATGAGGGCAACAGCAGTATTAGGAAACAGAAATGAGAAGTCTATTCTAAAAAAATGGACAAATTCTCTACATTTATGAGGCCAATGCCCAATATGGAGGGGGGGTTACATAGAAAGGAAAACATAGGCAGTTTAAAATGTGGTTCTTTATATTTCATCTGTTTTGACTCCAAATGTGAATGGCTTCCTGGCTGTACCAAATGACCTTGCATGCAAAGACAACAGGACACAATCAGAGCAGGTAATACCTCTGTTATTTTCATTCTAAGCTGGTGGTTCTCTGACTGTAGCCCTTCTAATCGAGATGTGCTGGCTTGGTTGACACTGGTGACAGATGTTGATGTTTTTGAATCATCTTTCTTCTGATTTTGGGTGAACTGAAGCCCTCTGTTCCGAGTGGCAGCATCTGGATTTGTTCTCAGAGTAATTAACTGAAATTTTAACAGCAATGAGATAATCCTCAAGGATATTGATTGAGTCATTGGCTATCTTTGCCCTTCCACCCCTTAACACTATAAAAATAAAGGTTATCGAGCACACAGATAATTCAAGTATCAAGTTTGAAGTTTTCAGCAGCAGTCCCCTCATTTTCCACATACATGTCTTAAAATTATTCAGCTACATATAATCCCATCCCCAATTTGCAAAAATTTCTTATTGCATCACCGAGCTTTGCAGAAACCCATGCAAGTAGCCTCAGTACTACTATGATTCCTTATCACCTCAGTGCATCCATTCTATGCATCTACTCTATGCATCTGATGAAGTGAGATGCAGCTCAGAAAGGGTTATGTCTTTCAATAAAATTTGTTTAATTGGAAAAGGTGCTACTAGAGTCTTAATTTTTTCCACCCATAGAGTAATACAGGTCTTTCCTTCCTATGTCTAGAATTACAGATAATTGTGAAATAACGTTCAAACTTAATACGGGCAATCATGATTATGATTTCTAGCCTTTTAATATACACAACTCGAGACACAAAACACCTGTTACGCTCTAACCCAGGGGTCCCCAATCCCCCGGTCTGTGGACCAGTACCGGGCCACGGCATGCCAGCAACTGGTCCGCACAAACAAGCAAAGCCCCATCCGCAGGATGCAGGCAACACATAAAACCACACCCCCTCCGGTCCACAGAAAAACCTCTCTCCACGTAACCAGTTCCTGGTGCCTAAAAGGTTGGGGACCTCTGCTCTAACCTAACATTCTATTGGCTCTCACCTTATAGAAGAAGTTGAGCCAAATGTTCCCTTTTGCATTGTTCCTCCTCATTCCAAAGCAACTTCATAATGGAGACAACCACCTAACTGCTGTACAAAATCATATGCAAATAAAACCATTCATTACAAATCAGGTTACTTACCTTAGGTACAAAGACCAAGCAGAGGGTAATGGTGCTACAAAATATAATCACTAGTGCCACAATGCAGAACTGTACATTGGGCTGGTCTCGTGTAAGAAAGGAAACAGCAGCTCCAATGATGCACATGATGCCCACATTATAAACACTCATGCCAATATATTTACTGTCATTCAGAGCAGGAATGCTCACATTTCGAGTCTCCCATGCCAAAAAACATCCAAATAGCTGGAATCAGAAAAAAAAGGAAGGCACGTTGTAACAAAACACGCAGTTGCATTTTTTCATTTTTGAAAACAAAATTGCATTCACATATTGAAATTGGGAGGAGGAGATTCCTCTCCCCCATACACAACAAACAAATAAAACAGAAAGGGATGGCACACATTTTATACATAGAATGCAGCTCTTTAAACACAATATTAAATCTAGATCAGAAGGAAGCTGTTTTACTGTTTCTCTTCTTGTGTTTTTAGTTTGACAAATGCAAGTATATTTAATTATCACTGATGAATCTGATAACTAACTCTTCTTTTAAAATGAGTAGGATTTTAAAGAGTTTAACACTGAATTCATCATACTTTTTGGTATTTAAGTTCAGACCGGGGAGGGGGGGGAGTGGAGGTGCTGCCATTATGCTGCCTACTTATATGTTTCTATAACTACATAACTTACCAGAGGGCACTAAGTACAGCCTAAACATGAAACATAAAGGAGCTAACATAGAGTAGCAGCTCCCTTATCTCAGCTCCTCATTAGCTAGAAAGAATTGTTAAAGTGTTGGACTAGGAATTGGGAATCCCAGGATGAAGACTATCCTCAACCATAAAGTTCACAAATATTATAGCTCAACAATCCTGTGTGGTAAGGAAAAAAATGGAGGAGAGAGTATTATGTGTACACCTAAAGTTCCTGAAGGAAAGACAGGATAGAAATCTAACAAATAGCATGAGATGAATATGATTTATATTTCTGTAATTGAAAATTTAAGTTATAAAACATGGTTTATTGCTAAGCAGCTGTTAAAGGTATTTCCAACAGACTGGGTACAATTGTGTTAAGCTAGAATTACTGATGTTTTTATTAGGTCATATATTTCAAGGTGCAGTGAAGGTACTTTGAATAGTCAGTCACAAGATAATACTATTTACTTTCACTAGCTGTATTTAAAGGGCAGAAACTCATGATTACATTGGACAGAGAGAATACTAGATGTAAAAGCGCTGACTCAAGTCATCATAATCTTAGTAGTCAAGCTTATAATATGCAGCTTTCGTGTCTCCAGAACACATTTTCCACCTTTCAATTTGCCCTCAAATTCTCCCTCTATTAGGCAGAAGAAAAACATATTAGAATAAAAATAGATTAGAATTAGAATTAAAAAAATATATCTTTGTTTTGGGAGGGAGGGAAGCTTTGTGAAATTAGTCTCACTATTATCACAAGATAAGTTATTTTGATTTCTGTTTTGATGATAAGGTTAAATGCTTGTCTATATTTTATTTATTTATTAGATTTTTACCCTGCCTTTATTATTTTTATAAATAATTTAAGATAGCAAACATAATATAATACTCCTTTTTTGCCCCAAAAGCAACTCTGTAAGGTGAGTTGGGCTGAGTGAGAATGACTGGCCTAAGGTCACCACTTAGCTTTCATGCCTAAGGCGGGACTAAAACTCAGTTTCCTAGTTTCTTGGCCAGCACCCTAACTCTACACCAAACTGGCTCTCATTTTAAGAGGATTTTAATATATCAATAGTAAATATACTGCTCAAAACAATAAAGGGAACACAAACGTATAGGATCCTATACGTTTGTGTTCCCTTTATTTTTGTGAGCAGTATATATTTTATTTACTTATAATTAGAATATATATATATATTTGAATGAAATAAATCTCTCTAATATACTGTAGATCAGTGTTTCCCAAACTTGACAATTTTAAGGCATGTGGACTTCAACTCCCAGAATTCCACAGCCAGCGTTGCTGGCTGTGGAATTCTGGGAGTTGAAGTCCACATGCCTTAAAATTGTCAAGTTTGGGAAACACTGCTGTAGATGTTTAGTTTAGAAAAGCATCGCAAAAACAAGACAGGTAAGATACATATTTCTCTCCTATCATTCCTTCAAGGTTTTCAGGGGAGGTACCCGATTTTCTCCTGTCATTCTTTTCATCTAGCAACCATCCTAGAAGGTAAGCTAGGCAGAGCAACAATGACTACCTAATATAAAGTGACCCTAGTCAGTTTCATGGCTAAACAAAACTGTGATTTAAGGTTTCCTGAATTCCTGAGCCAAGAATACTAAACATTACACCACCACCCTAGGCTCTGAGCTGCACTTACCATTCAACTTACCATGAGTAGGCCTTTATAGGCATAAACGATGCCAAGCCAGATAGTCATGTGAGTGTTTTCACAATGCTCCAAAATGGGAAGAATTGAGATATCTCGGCCTGCAGGGTCAGGCTACAAGGGGATATAAGAGAACAAAAGAGAGTCTGTAGTTGATATTTATTTCTTTATATCTATAGGTGAGGAAGAAGGTGGCTGTGGCTGGTCTGAAGAGAAAAATCCTGCAAGAAATGGAATTAAGGTGGCAGAAGGTTATCAGATTGTCTCATTATTCAAAAATGTACACCATTTGGGGGCATTTTTACTGCAATTCTATACACACTTAATTGAGAATAAGACCTACTAATAAAATGTATTATTGTTGTTCTATGCACATGTATTATTATTAAGTGCATGCACTGTTATTATTATCAATTTGAATCTATCCTTGCAGGATCAAGGCCTCTTCATTCAAGGTTATGCTCTACTGTGGGTTGGCATGTTTTCGAATAAGGAGCGAGTCATGCAACCACCTTTTGTGCCTTAGGAAGAATCAGAATCAGGCTCTCCCTTCTCCTATCGTGTTTATATGTGTGTATGTATGTAAAGTATATGCAACAAACATTGTCATACATTTCATTTAATATATTTACAGGTAGTCCTTGAATTACAACTGAAATTAGTACCAGAACTGCCATCACTAAGCGCTGCAATTGTAAAGTACAACATCATGTGATTGCATTGCATAGTGATCACAATCCAGGCAGTTCTGGTTGTTGTCTTAACTCCAGATGAGTGGTTCATTAGGTGGAAAGTGGAGGGAGTCTGAGTTAAAGAGAGCAAATATGATGTGGAGGTGCTGCAGGGGGGTGGGAAAACCCTGGGCGGCCTAGGGAGGCTACGAACAAGTTGGTGGAGGAAATGCTGTGATGCAGCACAAGTTCAGGAGGCTCGAGAAAGAGGGCATGAGGTGTGTGAGAACATAGTATGTGCAAATATGGAGGTGGGTAAGACTTACCCAAGCAACTTACAACCTTGCCTACCAGTTTCCCCATGGACTTTGCTTATGGGAAGCTGGCAGGGAAGATAACAAATGACAATCACCTGACCGCAGGACATTGCAACCAGTTGTAAGTTCAACCAGTTGCCAAGCCCCTGAATTTTGATCATGTGACCATAGGGGCACTGTAACATCCAAAACTTTGAGGACCAGTCATAAGTCCCTTCATTCACAGCCACTGTAACTTCAAATGGTCATTGAATGGATGGTTGTAACTTGAAGACTGCCTCTATTATCAATAAATATTGTGTTTCTAGTACATTCAGTAGCAGATGCTTTGTATGCTACAATGCTTAAACATTACTAAAAGCATTTAAAACTTATGTTCTTTAATTACAATATTGGAGAAGACAATATTTATTATTTTATAGAGCTCACAGCAGTTTTATATATGTACATTATCAAGATGAACTCTGCAAGAGTGATCCAAAATACGCCATCTTCAGTTTCAAACACATCAAGCCCCATCAATAATAACAGAGTCATAACAATATATATAGCTCAGGGTTAAACCTGAGGAGTCCTGGTGCTCTCTGAGCTTGGTTTTTGTTTACAGATGTTTCATTACCTGATTAGATATCACAATCAATGCCTCTGCTCAACACTGAACAGCACATCAACATTGATCATGTAACCTAGTTGGATAATGAAATGTCTGTTAGCAAACAACTAAGCTCAGAAAACACAAGGACTCCACAGATTTAAGACTCCTGAGCTACATATATTCTCTTTTAGACTCCTGAGCTACATATATTCTCTTTTATTGGAAGTCATTTTCTTTTTTCATACTCATGAAGGTGAGAGGGTACAGACAGAGAGATAATGGTTCACCTAAAAGATTGTAGTCTGACTGTTGGGGTGAGTGGGTAGGAACCACTGAAATAGCTTTATAGTGTGGCTTTTAGTTCCATCAGTCTGTTTGCTTCATTGTTTTAATATTATAAAAGCAGAGAGTTCATCTACAAAAATGGATGAACTGCAAAAATCACCTACAAAGGAAAGTATGAAAACTTCTGCATCTAATGTGCTATTTTTTTTAAAAAAAAATTAGAAATGAGAGAATCAGTCTAGGAAGCAGAGACCCGGAGCTGATGACTGAGGACCAAGAATATGGATGTTTTTATTTACCTCCAAGATATGAATGAGACACATATCTCTGAGATTTTATTATATTCCTATGCAAAGATTTCATACCATGGATTAAAGAAACTGGAGAGGGCATAGTTGTGATAAGTGTAGAGATGTTATTTAATCAAATAAGACAAGACTTGGTGCTTTGCACTATAAATAAATACTGCACATTACTATAGTATTAAATTAATGAAGTACGCATTGAATATAAAAATAAACAAAATAACTTGATAACATCCAATTACTTTTGCCATTTGTTTTTGCCTTTTGATTTTTTATTTTACAAGCAACAATATTGTATGTACTTATAGAGGGAGCTGGAATAAAACAAATCCTCGTCTCTGATCTTAAATGTGTATCTGGTCAATTTTAATGGACAAAAAACCACATTTTTTATTAAAAATCATTAGCAGCTTGCATGTTGCACACCCTCAATACTTTTCTACACTGTGCTAGTGTTACCATTAATGTCCAGCTAAAAGGATGTGGATTGATTTAGATAAGGCCACACTTAGAGCAGATCAATCTAAATAAATGGGAATTAAGCTAGGCTGTAGCTTTTTTTGAAGTATAACTTTATTTCAATAAATTAAGCGCGGCTGTTGAAATGTAACTTTATTTCTGAACATAAAAGCAAATTTTTATTTATTTATTTAATATGAATGCTACCCATTCCAAGTGCTTCTGGATGGCTCACAGCATAAAAATAAACCACAAATACAGTTTGTAGGTTGAATTTACAATCATCTGAATTTATAACAGACCCCCCCCAAATACTTATGACCCATTTCCTAGTTATGGCCATTGCAGAACCCTTACAATCTTTTCCCTTATGACCAACTGCAGTCCCTCCACCTATCTCCCCCCACTATCCTTCCCCGCTGGGTCCCTGCAAACCTTGGATCTGCTTTCCCACACACACTGGGTCCCTGCAGGGCCTCGGCCTTCTCCCCTCCCCTGTCACTCATCACACAGTTACCTTTTGAAGATCTCCAGAGCTCCGGACCTCACTTTGAGAAGGAGGGTAGGCCACTCTGTCCCTCAGTGTTCCTGTCATGTTGAAATGGCAGTCCAGGGATGCTGAGGGTCAGAGTGGCCTGCCCCCCTTCCCCAATGTGAGCTCCAGAGCTCCAGAGAGCACCAAAAGTTAAGTGCATGATGGGTGATGAGGGTGGGGAGGAGGTCTAAGCCTTGTGGGGATTTGGTGTTGGGGGGAGAAAGGCCTGTGGGGACCCTGTGGGGAGAAAGAGACCTCCAGAGACCTAATGGAGAGAAAGGCCCGTGGGAACCAGTTGGGGAGAGAGAAAACTGGCCCCAAAGCTGTGGGGATCCCAAGGAGAGGGAACCAAAACACAGGGTATTTTAGGGGGAGATGGACATGGGAGGCCTGGGGCAGGCAGGCCTGGGTTTGCACTAGGTCTCCCAGGGCCTCTCCTACCCCAAGGTATTCTGTGTTCTGTTTACAAATGCATCAGGATGAGCAAGTGATATTGCTTAATGACCATAACTGCATGCAACTGTAATGGGCAGGCTTCATTACGGTTGCAGGCTGAGCACTACCAGTATACAAAAAGCATATGTCAACAAGATGGAAGAAGTGGGCCACAAAACAAACATATTATTTGCTCACAAGTGTCTAAATCCTTCAAGCCCAATGCTTGAGAGAACAGTCTGTCTTTGAGGTCCTCCAGAATGCCATCAGTGTGGGAGCTACCCAGCTCTTAAAGGACCCTCTTTCCAGAGAGTTAGGTGCCTTGACAGAGAAGAAATGCTTCTGGGTTCCTGAAAGGTGGCACTGCTTGGTTGAAAGAACCTGGAATTCATCATCTCTGTTGTATTAAACTGGTCAGAGCTGATGCTATGGAAGATGAATGATCTCTAAAGTAAACAGGCCCTATGCCATGTAGACCTTGATAGGTTGTAACCAGCACCCTGAAGATGATTTATTTTCAGCCGCACAGCATGAGAATGGATTTACATTAGACTGTTAAAATTTCTATTTCAGTTTCCTATAAATATGCTGAGAGAAGCACATCAAGTAACCATGCAGGTTTCTTGGCCGTCTTATGTATTGTAAATGCTTTTTTTACAGGATGCTTTTCAGCTTCTCACTTTAGCTTACAAACCTTGTATTGGTCTCCCATGCAAACATGCACTACATCAGATCCTGATTAACTGCTAGTGTGAACAAAGACAGCACAGTGTGCCATCTACAGTACTTTAGGTTAATGGAATATAGGAATATCCATTCACACTCAAGAACATGATTGTTTCAGACTTTATTTTTTGGGATTGTGCATCCAAAAGATTTTTAACACTCTGCACAAAACAACAACAATAACAACCCTGAAAAACATTGGGTGAATACCACCTCTCATCAAAAAAGCACTGACAATTTTATTATGGTATTTTTCAAGGAAATGAAGTTAGAAAAAATAGAACCCTTGCAAAAGCCAAGAAAAAAAAAATGCAGGAAAGCTACTGATATAGGATATACCTATATATGATAGGAACAACAACAACATCAACAAAAAACAGAATGGAAAGGGAAGGGTACAGTTGCCACCTTTATTAACCCCATATCTGTGTCTTTAAAGGTAGAAATTTCACTTTCTTAAATTTTTAAATACTATAGTGCTACTGAAAGCATGGATGAAGGACAGTAGAAAGTTGTTTCCTGAGATTTCTCACATGTCCACAGGAATAGCTGGGCCTTGTTGATGTCTCTGATAATGTAAAATAATATTATGAACAGGCGTAAGGTATGTGGTTACAAAGAAATTAAGAGGAAGCATTTAACAAAATACATGTTTAGCAAAGTAATTAAAATTTCTGTTTCTATGAACATACATGTAACCGTGTGTCAATTTCAGACACGTTGGGCAGCATTACAGAATTTCTCCACCATTAATTTTTCCAAATTAAGCTGCCAAACCACAGTCTT